CTACCCAAGGGAAACATATCAAATACATACACACACAAATGCATATAAATTATATATATAGATATGCATATAAATAATTTTAAGTCCTCAAGCTGTTATTAGGAAGCAGACATGACAAATTTTATTAAAATTAAATGAAGCATAATTCCACTTGTTTTTTATTTTATTGTACTCACAGGCCAAAGAGCAAAGAGAAAGACAACCTTCATCCCGTCTCTGACAACAAAAAGGTTAAAGAAGAGAAAGAAGATGAGAAGGTTGAGGATGTAAGCTTTTTTGTTTGTTTTTACTTATTTCTACCTCCTTTTTCTTGCTTTAGTTTGACTACAAACATTGAGTTTTATTTTAATTTAATTTTTTTAATTATAAAGTTGGCTTTCTTTAAATGATCACCAGCTTGAGGTGACATCACATTTCTTACTTTTTTTTGGGGGGTGGGTTGTTTGTGTCTCTGCAGCAAGACTTTGACCAGAACAAACTGGAGGAGGAGATGAGGAAGAGGAAGGAGCGGGTGGAGAAATGGAGGGAAGAGCAGAGGAAGAAGGCCATTGAAAACATAGGAGAGATCAAGAGAGAGCTGGAGGAAATGAAGCAGGGCAAGAAATGGAGCCTTGAGGATGATGATGGTGAGGACACACACTGAAACATTTCAGTTTGAGAAATAAAATTCTGTATAAAAATTAAAATACTAACACTCTTTCCTCTGCGGGATCATTTAAATAGTCACTTAAGTTCCTGTTCCTGGTTCTTATTGAGGTTATTTTTGTAGTTTATTAAAAAAAAAAAGTAATAAACTCCTTTATTCCAGACGATGATGAGGAGGGCTCAGCTTTGATGGAGGCAGACGATGATGAAGAAGAAGCAGACGGAAAGGAGGAGGGCAAGGAGAAGGACACAAAGGAGGCGATAAAAGAGGAAGGTGAGATGGAAAAGGAGACTCCTGTGGAGCAGCAGGCTGAAGAAGACGAGGTTGATCCTCTGGATGCCTACATGGAGGAGGTCAAACAGGAGGTGAAAAAGTTCAACATCGGACCCATGAAAGGAAACGATAAGGTGTGGACGTCACTTTGGATTAAAGTAGAATAGTGTGTTGCCTTTTTTCCTCTACAGTGTCAAAAATATTAGCAAATTCATTCAGCCTTTATTTAGACAGGTTAATCTCATTGAGCCTCGAGGACTCATTTATAAGAGGGACCTGATAATGAGTTTTTAATTAAAAAATCTGCTATAAATCAACAGTGAATCACTTTACTGTTTAGTTTAAAGGTCTGGAAAGTGTTGTTGTATTTTGTCTGCTAATGTTGAACCGTCAGTCGTCTCTGGGTGTTTTATCCTCTACTGCTTTATTAATGTTATTGTTTTTTTTTGTTTTGTTTTTATCAACAGAAAGGAGCAATGACCGTAACTAAAGTGGTGACAGTTGTTAAAACTAAAAAGTTACCTCACGTCCACAAAAAGAAGGGTGAGCTGATGGAGAACGACCAGGATGCCATGGAGGTGTGTCTGTAATCGCTGCTTCAGCGGCTCGTTGAGGTCTTTTCTCCTGCTGTTTGTCTGAAATGTTCTGTGTTGACAGTACTCGTCAGAGGAGGAGGAGGTAGACCTGCAGACAGCTTTGACGGGTTTCCAGACCAAACAGAGAAAGGTTCTTGAGCCTGTTGACCACGGGAAGATCCAATATGAGCCGTACCGCAAAAACTTCTATGTGGAGGTTCCTGAACTGGCCAAGATGTTACCAGAGGGTCAGTGAATCTGGTTTTAGTACGAACACAATGTCAATATTGAATCATTGTACATTAGCAATATGATTAGATTCATTCTTCATTTAAAAGCCATGTTCTGTCAGTGACGCTGTTTAGCGAGGCTGCTAATCGTTAATTATGAAGACTTTTTGCGCATTGAGCAGCTCTTAAAGAAGCTAAAATTACCACCTTTATATTAAATACAGACTTTGTAAAACATGAACGACTTCACTGAAATTTAAAGAAACTGAAACTGGGTGGGTTAAAGCTAAAAAAAAAAGGGCAGAAGACTAAACAAAATCACAGTGTTAGCTAAAATGGGTAAAATACTAGCTACAAGATAAAGGTAGCTAAATTCTAGCTACAAGGTCTTCTTCCCTCCTTCAGGGGTCGCCACAGTGAGTCGCCATCTCTCTGTCCTCTGCATCCTCTGTCCTCACTCCAACTACCTCCATGTCCTCTCTAACTGCACCAGTTTAACTAAACTAAAGTCTAGCTTGCTAAAAGCAGCAGTATGCTAGCTAAAATCATAAAGAGCAAAAAAATAAAAAGCTAAAAGAAGTAAAGTGTTTCTAAACGCAGAAGACAGCTAACTGACGGCTAGAATAAGAAAAATGTAAGCTAAAAGAAGCATGGCGCTAGATAAAAGAAGAACGGTACAAGTTGAAAGGAGCGAAATGCAAACTAAAGGAAAAAAGTAGTAGATTAAAGCTAATACACGCAAAAGGCGAGCTAAAATTAGCGTAAGAAGGCAAAAATAGAGCAGATCTCAAAGAGAATAATGTTTTTGAAGGAACAAGAAACGTCTATATATTTTATGGAGAAACTTTTTGAAATAAAGTTAAATATTTTGAAAAGTCTAAAAGTTACAAAAGTCATAGTTTCCATCTCTTTTATTAAAATAAGCAAGTCACCTCAGAGTCTTATGAATTTTTGTCTTCCTTCGTTGCTTAAATAACATTTCTTTGTTGTTTTTAAACAAACAGAAGTGAATACATTCAGACTAGAACTGGAAGGTATCACCGTCAAAGGAAAGGGCTGTCCCAAACCCATCAAGACCTGGGTCCAGTGTGGGGTGTCCATGAAGATACTTGCCTCTCTGAAGAAGTGAGTTGATGGATGTTGTGCAGTATTTTATTAAGTTAGCTCTTTTTGTTTTCCTGTATATAAGTCACGATTCCTTCAGATTAAAGACCAATACGGCACGCTGATGTTTTTCCTGTAAATGTAACCAGGCATGCCTACGAGAAGCCCACACCAATCCAGGCTCAGGCGATCCCCGCCATCATGTCAGGTCGAGACCTCATTGGCATCGCTAAGACCGGAAGTGGGAAGACCATCGCTTTCCTGCTGCCCATGTTCCGACACATTATGGACCAGAGGCCACTGGACGAATCCGAGGGACCCATCTGTGAGTATCAGAAACCAAAATAACTAATTTTCTCTCCGAATCAATAAAAACAACTCGTTCACTCCAACATAAGGTATTTTGGAGGGATTAAAGGTGTCAGTCTCTGCAGATCTACACGATTAAACTTTATAACTTTAAAGCTTAAAACAAGTGGCTTGTGTTTGCTTTCCACAGCTGTAATTATGACTCCGACCAGAGAGTTGGCTCTACAGATCACAAAGGAGTGCAAGAAGTTCTCCAAAGCGCTGGGACTCAGGGTGGTGTGCGTTTACGGAGGCACGGGAATCAGCGAACAGGTAAAAGCCCTCGCATTAAGCTGATCCTTTTATTTCAAGAAGGCTTTAACTGTCCTTCAGGCGCTTAATCAGAAGTTGAGCTTCATTCACATTTGAGTCGATGTGCAGCACGGACCTTTTACACAGATTTATTGATACTTTCTCGCTGATGTTTACCACCCAAACTGCCTGCTAAACTGCTCTTAGTGCACGCATAACTCCAAATGAACTTTATGAATAATATTTGAATTACTAAGTGGTGTGTCGGCCCTGTGATGGACTTGCGACCCGTCCAGGGTGTACCTCGCACAATGATATCTGGACATGGGCACCGGCGACCCCCGTGACCCAAAATGGAAGAAGCGGGTAAAAGATGATGGATGGATGAAACAATATTTTGAATATAATCTAATTAAAATAATATAATCACAATATTCGTCTTTATTCAAACCTGCTGATTTTGTTTGATTGCAGATTGCTGAGCTGAAAAGAGGAGCTGAGATCATCGTCTGCACACCAGGAAGAATGATCGACATGTTGGGGGCCAACAGTGGTGAGTTCACTCATCCTCGTCGTTATTCTTACTTCATCACCAGGATGTGAGTTAGCATTTTTTGTGTAAGACGTCTGCATGGTTGTAAAGTGTCTGCAATAATCCAAATCAGTACCTTTTTTACTAAACTGTTGACGTTATTTGACCCCGCTTTTGGGATCAGTCATTTCTACAAGACAGTGATGAGTTTCCTGAAGATCAGGGCCGGTACAGGTAGGTGGACCTGGTACTGCCTCCACGGTTCCTCTGTCGCCACACTGGGATTAATCAGACTGCTCAATGTGCATCACGACAGGGATTTAGACTGAACAGATTAAATGTATGTGTTCAGAGTTATTTACTGAGGATTCAGTATTTTTGTTTATCTCTAATGGTTTTTCTTCCACTAAGTGTGGCTCTTGTCTTATGGGGTTGAACTGTATTCTAAATTTATTTTTTGAGTAATTATTGTAAGCGAAGGGGTTATTTGTTCTTTCCACACATGCGAGGTAATCTGTAATATGTTTCCCTTATAGGTGATGGGGCTCCATCTCTTGTTTTGTATCTTGAGGCTGTTTTCTGACTTTTACAGGTCCCTCATGCCCTTGAGATGGTACGCAAGACCAGAGACAAGCAAAGAAACAAATCTAAAATGTCATTAAAATAAACCCCCGGCTTTAAGAAAATAATATATATATATATTTAAAGTAACTTCAGATAGCTGCATTCTGATACAAGGTTGTCTGTATTCGTCAGATTAGCTGTATGATTTTAAAAGGAGACAAGCTGTTAATTAGGGCTCGACTCTTCTCGTAGTTGATCAGTGCTCTTTATGATCCTTTTCATAACGTGCAGGCCGGGTCACCAACCTGCGCAGAGTTACGTACTTAGTGTTGGACGAAGCAGATCGGATGTTTGACATGGGCTTCGAGCCACAGGTGGGAGATTCACTCTGTTTGTTCCCTCACACTTGGATGTTGGCTGTCACATTTTCTCATAGTTTACATCCTCCTGTAGGTGATGCGTATTGTGGACAATGTGCGTCCAGACCGGCAGACAGTCATGTTCTCAGCCACCTTCCCCAGAGCCATGGAGGCGCTGGCTCGCAGGATCCTATCGAAGCCCATCGAGGTGCAGGTCGGAGGCCGCAGTGTGGTCTGCTCGGACGTGGAGCAACACGTGGTAAATTATTTTATTTTATTATTTTAGTTAATTTTTCTGTCTGTGAAAGAAAAAGTATCTACAGGAAACATTAGTTTTTTTCCTTTTTCTTTTTTTTCCCGGAAGAATAATTCAAGATTTTTACTTAACTAGCATTTTAGTTTACATTTATTTTGTGAATGCTGAGTCAGCATATTTTAACTATTAATATATAAAACTAACAGGGCGGCCAGGAGTAGTGTGCCATGACTTGGGTTTTGTAATTCCAATGCTTTTTAAAATTATTTTACTCTATGTACAAAAAAAATCACTGCAGAAATCTATTTCTTCAAAAAATCCTTCAAAAACATTTGTTTTATGAAATTTATTTTAGCATACTTGTTCTATTTTCCGAGATGGAGTAGAGGTAGGGCAGCCGACTTGGGACCAGAAAGTCGTGGTTCGACTCCCAGCCATGCCCACATGTTGTGGTGTCTCTGAGCAAGACACAAAATCTCTAACTGCTCCCTGGGCGCTTGCATAGCTGCCCACTGCTCCACCTGGGTATATCTTATCAATCTTATCTTATCTGGGTTGTCCTTATCAATGTTCCAACACATACTGAACATTATTATTGATATTGTTTATCTTATTTCTTTATATATTGTTTTTAACATTTAGGAACTTTTGTGTGAAATCTTTTTATCCGTTGTTGCTGCTGTTACACTTGAATTTCCCAGCCGTGGGGCAATAAAGGCTGTTTCTATTCTATTCTATCTCAGGTGTGATGGGTTAAATACAGAGAACTAATTTCACCATTGTATGGCAACATACAATGATGACAATTTCAGACTTCCCTTCTCCTTTAGGTTTCATATGCTCCTCTTGAATTTTAGCTACTTTCTTGCTAATTTCAGCCTTTAGCTACAGTTTTTATACATTTAGGTTAAAGCAACTGTTTTGCTATATTTAGCTTTTAACTACAGTTTTGCTACATTTAGCACTTAGCTACAGTTTACTTCATTTTGGGTCTGAGCCATTGTTTTGCTAAATTTAGTTTTGAGCTTCGTTTTAGTGTCCGTTTTGCTAAATTCAGCTTGAAGTTGCAGTTTTGTTCAAATTTAGCTTTTAGCTACAGTTTCACAAATGTTAGCGTTGAGTGTCTTTGAGTTGAGCTTTAGGGTAAAGCTACTGTTTTGCTCATTTTAACTAAGAGCTACAATTTTGCAATATTTAACATTTAGCTACAGTTTAGTTATTTTTGGTTCGAGCTACAGTTTTCTTAATTTGATGTTCTGTTCTGCTTGTTTTTCATTTTAACACTTCCGTTAATTTATACTTAAATAAATTTAAACAAACTCCTCCAGCTCTCAGAATTCACACAATCTATTTTTTTTTTATTTTTGCAGCAAATGCAATTCTAGTTTCATTTGAGATCTTCTCTTCCCAATCAAGCAAATTGCTCATTTTTCATTGCCATTCTTTTGCTTTGTTTTTTTCTTTAGCTGGTGATTGAAGAAGATAAAAAGTTCCTGAAGCTGCTGGAGATTTTAGGCCACTACCAGGAGAAGGGATCTGTCATCATCTTTGTGGACAAACAGGAGCACGCAGACGCTCTGCTCAAAGACCTGATGAAAGCCTCGTACCCCTGCATGTCTCTGCACGGAGGTACTGGGTCACATTGGATTTAGGAACATGATTGACCATTGTTCTGCTCATATCAGTTTTGCTTGAATCTGAGTCCTCCAGATTGGATCATTGAGCTCTAATGTTACCGCTGTTGTTTTAGGAATCGATCAGTACGACAGAGACAGCATCATCAATGATTTTAAGAACGGAGCGTGTCGCCTGATGGTGGCCACCTCTGTGGCAGCCAGAGGTTTGGATGTCAAGCAGCTGATCCTGGTGGTCAACTACAACTGTCCCAACCACTATGAGGACTATGTCCACAGGGCGGGACGCACAGGCAGAGCAGGCAACAAGGTCGGCCACTTAAAACCTTTTCATCTTTTTTAAGACTACCTCTAATTTAACCGTGACTAATAAATCTGAGTCCAATTTAGTCTGTGTTGGAATATTCAAGTGGTAGAATCTGAGGATTAAATGTTTTTTGGTTCGTTCTCAGTTATTATTTTTCTTTTAAATACAAAAACACAAAATTAAATCTTGACACGTTGGTCTTCCCCTCCATCTTGTTCGTTTACCGTACTTAGGGCTACGCCTACACCTTCATCACCGAGGATCAGGCTCGTTACGCTGGAGATATCATCAAGGCCTTGGAGCTGTCCGGGTCTCCTGTCCCTCCAGAACTGGAGCAGCACTGGTCCTCCTTCAAGGACCAGCAAAAGGCGGTAAGTTGAAGTAAATGGTTGTAATCTCGCAGGAATGCATTAAGTAAGTCTGGTATTGCTTCATAAATTGTCTGTGTAAGCATTAAATGAGTTTTCCTCTTCCTTTGTTTGTCCATATAGGAGGGTAAAGTTATTAAGAGCAGCAGTGGGTTCTCTGGTAAAGGCTTTAAGTTTGATGAGACCGAACATGCTTTGGCCAACGAGCGAAAGAAGCTGCAGAAAGCTGCACTTGGATTGCAGGACTCCGATGATGAGGACGGAGCGCTGGACGTGAGTTCCTTTTTTCTTTTCGTTTTTTTCTGATTACCGTATTTTCCGCCGTACACGTTGCACCATGCACCGTCTTATAAGTCGCATCGGTCCATTTATGTCTAATAAAGTGGAAAAAACATGAATACGTTGCTTTGCCGTGTAAGTCGCATCTATTATGCGTCACCGCTGACACATAGTGTTTGTTACGCATCACTGCTGACAACCTGGAAATGTGGACCGGTGTTGTGCTAAAAACCATTTGGCTGCCAAATAGCAGCTGCGGGAGCGTGCACGGGAGGACTTTAACAAGAATTTAACAAGATTAACACTTATAAACAATGATTTGTTGCTCGAAATTATAGCAAAGGTGTGTCTCAGTTTAACATTTCCTTAATAAATGTACTTTGACGGTCAAGTCATCTGCATTTCATAACCCGATTTGCGGAAGTAGGAGCACGCAAAGGGACGAGTCGCTGTGCATTTCTTCGAAATTTAACAAGACAAATGCATAAAAACAATTGTTTGTTTGCTCGACTTTATAGTAAAGGTGCGTTTCAGTTGAACTTTTACTTAATAAATGCACTTTAATGGTCAAATTAGCTGCATTTTCAAAAGTATTATCTGCCTCAATGTTCTGGGAGCGCGCAGAGGGAGGAAATCAGGAAGGAGGAACGCTGTGCATTTCTTTGAAATTTAACAAGATAAGCACATAAAGCAATTATTTGTTTGCTCGACATTATAGCAAAGGTGTGTCTCAGTTGAACTTTTACTTAATAAATGCACTTCAATGGTCAAATTCGCTGCATTTCGCCGTGGCGGCGCAGCAAAATGAAGCTGATTTGACAGTTGCTCCAGGCGAGCAGAACGAAGGTGGCAGGCTGTGGCAATCCGATTGTGACATTAATAGCCACTTTTACTTATTACATGACACAACAGCATAGCTTACTACTCGAGTGCCATCTAGCAGCTGAAAATGGTAGTGTTCAATATTTTCGATGTCAGAATGAATGAAAACGGTCATATCTCAGCCCAAAATTGGTTTGTAAATATGGAAAAAAACAAAAATATGTCGCTTCGGCGTAGAAGTCGCAGGGCATGTAAATTATGCAAAAAACTGTGACTTGTATGTCGGAAAATACGGTATCATTTATACTTAAACAATTCTGGCTCGACATTAAATTAATGAAATCTTTTTTCCTTAGATTGAGGAGCAAATTGAAAGCATGTTTAATTCTAAGAAGAGGGTGAAGGATCTGTCTGCTCCTGGAGCGGCTGCTGGTGCAGCTGTAGGCGTTGTTCCTACAACGGCTGCATCCGGAGGGCTTCCGGGCGTCGCCCCGGCGTCTGCTGGGAACATCCAGAAACTGGAGATGGCCAAACGGCTGGCTCTCAAGATTAACGCTCAGAAGAACTTGGGCGCTGAGGCTCAGGTATATCAGGTTGACATTGACTCTTTAGTTCTAACATTCAGCTTCTGTCTTCTGACATACGTTTTATGTTTTCTTGGTTCTAATTTTATTCCCTGTTCTCTGCGTCCAGGACGTGATGCAGCAAGCCACCAACGCCATCCTGCGTGGTGGGCCCATTGTGACGCCGTCCGTGTCGGCCAAGACCATCGCAGAGCAGCTGGCAGAGAAGATCAACGCCAAGCTGAACTACACACCGGTGGAGAAGCTGGAGGAGGAGCGGCAAGCGGCCGAACAGGCTGAGACCGTCAAGAGATATGAAGAGGAGCTGGAGATCAACGACTTCCCTCAGGTCGGCGGCTATGCTAAGATTTTTAATACTTCCGGTTTTTGAACGTTTCTTAAACTAAATTTGTATCCGTGGGAACCATCAGCGGTCGTTTAGATCGGCAGTATTTTTTTATCAGATGGTAAAAGAGGTTCAGGTTTTTACCTTGAAATTAAAATGGCATTTAATGAAAAATGTCACGAGTATTTATCTTTAATCATTCCTGACTGCCATCATTTAGTGGTTAGAACTGCTCGCTCTGTGTCGCCATTTATCACATTATGTTTTCACTGAAGGTGAAACCAGAGCGAAGCACAACTTTTAGGCTTAGCGTCAAGCCACTAGTTGTTTTTGACTTTTAAAAAATACTAATTTTCCATTGACTTATAAAGTTATAAATGTCAGTTACTGATCATCAGAGTTTTCTCAGGGGAACTTTGTTACAACAAACCTTCTTTTTTAAAACATACATTTATTGCAGAACCTCCTGTCTTCTGGTATTATTCTAAAATATTACTACATTTTTATTCTTTAATAAGGAAATAAGCTTTCATCAATGTGTTATCAGCAGCTTTAAAAGTGATGTAAAATTAACAAGTTTTAGTGGGTTAGACATACAGTTTTCTTTTATTCTTGAACCTGTTGTATATGATAATCTTTTTCAGTGTGACTCGTTAAAAGCTCGTTGCTTTCGTTGATAGGCAAAGTTTAAACAAGTCGACCTCAAATGAAGAACACACAGAAAAATATTAAGAAATTATCTAAACTTAAATTAACATGTCACAAAAGCCTACTGGATATATGGAAAGTTGTTTTTGTTCTCTATTAGTTTTATCACTGATTTTTAAATAGGGCGTCTCACATCTGATTTAAGTAGATTTACTGAAAACTTGTTCTAAGATATTTTGCATTTTTTTTACTTTCGCAGACGGCCAGATGGAAGGTGACATCTAAAGAGGCTTTGCAGAGGATTGGTGAATACTCTGAAGCTGCCATCACCATCAGGGGAACTTATTTCCCTCCTGGCAAAGAGCCCAAGGAGGGAGAGCGCAAGATCTACCTGGCTATTGAAAGTACGTATTACTACGTGCCAAAAATACAAATCCACCAAATGCCTGTGTATTTTAAGACTTTTTATAATTCGTTTTGGAACGTCTGTTTAGATTTTGATGTTCCTTGTTACAAAAATGTCTTTATTTATGAGGTAGACTGTGGTGTTATTATCGAAGTACAATATTTGCCTAGTCTTTATTTCAAGGCCTCAGTTACCTCAAAAATAAATGATCTAATAATATAATCACTTAATATGTGCTGGGAAATTGAGTCACAAGGACACATTTTTCTATCTAGCTTCAGAATGAAACATTGTTAAAATTTAGCAATTTATCGCCTGGCAACAAGATAGTTTTGGCTAATATTATATGAAGGGATTTCCTTCTGCTATATCAGCCAAAGGAAATTATTAGTAAGTGTTAAGTAATTATTAGTAAGTATTATTTCTGAAAACATACCATTTAAAAAAAAAAAAAAATTGAATTTAAAGGTAGATTAGGAAGATTATATGCAGTTTTAGTTACCTGGATCACTAGATGTTGTCCTTATGGACTAATTTTTAAGCAAAAGTCAATATTTTTCACTTATTTAGCATGACAGCCTTCACATATACTGAACATGTTTGTTTTCTAGGTGCAAGTGAGCTGGCTGTACAGAAAGCCAAAACAGAGATTACACGGCTGATCAAAGAGGAGCTCATCAGATTAGTAAGTGTCTTTGTAATTGGATATCAGTTATTTACCCATGACAATTAGTCAATATTTTAAGATCTGTGCAATGTCCTAACGTCTGTTTCTTGTTTTTCTTAGCAAAATTCCTACCAGCCAACAAGCAAAGGCCGATACAAAGTGTTGTAGAGGAAGATTTGTGGCTACAGCGAGGGGTTTCCATCAATCAACCTACTCTATTTGTTGTCGTTTCAAGAGGTTAATTAATTTTTTTAGTCTATATTGTAATGTTTCATTAATTATTTTTTGTTCACCCCCCCCCCCCCCCTGTGTTCCAGCCTATTCAGTGATTTTCCTGTTCTTACAAATACCAACATGTCTGATTCTACATGCATCATTAAAGCAGCACAATTCTCCATTTGGCTATCTGAGATATGCCTTTACATATAAAACCGTCTTTCTTTAATGTGCTATTTTGGTCAGGTTTATGTATATTCAGCATAAAAACCATTGAGAATCTCATATGAAAGATGTTTTTACATTTCCTCAATAAAACAATGAACATGATGTGCTCGGATGATGTGAATTATTCAACACCCATTCGTTTTTATATTATTTATTAGCAGGGAGAAGTGTTTTTTCCCCTTTCTAAAGCATCCCAACTGGATCCTTGCTCAGTATTTGCTTGTATATCTTTATTTGCTTGAGGCAACTAAACGTGTTTTTTAGTATTTTACGGTTAAAAACGTTTTGTGTGTCAAAGTGTTTCAGGATGAGCTGGAGGGGGGAAAAAACTCGCCTCTGTTTAAGCCGCTCTGCGCATGCGCAGCCCTCCGCTTATACATTTTTAATGGAAAATGGCTGCGTTTCTTCACCAAACCGCTGGAGCTGGGAAATAAAAAAAAAAAACTGTCTTTTGTCGTTCGCACCGAAGCGATTTGGATGCGGTAACTACACGTTAGCGAAGCCGACGTCCTGTGTTGTGAAAATAAGTGGGGAGGGTTTAAAAAAAAAAAATGGAGCGACTCCCGCTTTGAGAGGGATGTAAAGATAATTTTTCTCCTTTAACCCTTCCTGCTCCGACATCTGCGAACAATCGAGGTACAGTAACCTTTGCTAATTCTTGTTAGCTAGCTAGTTTAACTCCTTGCTCTGACTGCTAACACTTAAATTAAGCATCGTGAAACTCGTCGTGGTGTTGTCGAGGTTCAACCGGTTTCTGTTCAGCCGTTATTCGCCTGAATTTAACCGTTAACGTTTGACGGAGGTAACGTTTTGTGTGTGTGTGTGTGTGTGTGTCTGCGCACAAAGATGCGGAATCCATGTGCATGTATTTGTGAATGGAAACACTAAAGACAGTGTTTGTGGTAGTAAAAGTCCAAACCTAGCATCCTGTTCTCGGCAGTCTATTTTAAATGTAAACTGATTAAATCAAGGCGCTCAGATAAATGTAGTTAAAATAGTTTACAGTTTCCCTAACAATAGATAAATTAGACACCCCAACAAGCTGAGGTTATGTTAGTTCATCTCACCAAACATTTAATTTAAATCATGCCCAGTGATCAACCTTGAAACAGTTTATTTGGTCTACCTGGTGGATTATAGCGTTTTAAAAACATCCTTTTTATTAGAGACACCTCATCGCTTGGATTGTTGAAAAATTAAAGAATTGATTGAACTCATTGAAAAGCATTTAACGTAAGAAATGGGTTTTCCTGAACTGAAATGGAGAATTAAACGGTCCAGCAGATTTAGAGATGTATTGATTTGCAGTTCAGAGATGCGGGTAGGCACTCAATGTAAACAAAGCACATGTGTATTAAATCTGAGCACATGCCAGTACATCTAACTGTGGGACTTCTTTATTTTGTTTTCTACACATCGCCGTTGTTGATATATTCTCAGATGTTTCAGCTGTTTCTGTAGTTGGCACCTGTTTACAAATTTAGCTGACACATTTTTAATTTAGGGACATTTCTCATTAATATGGGAAGAAACAGTGTGGATTTAGTTGTGTACTTTTATTTTTTTTTCCAGTATTCTTGACATTGCAATGAGTCTTTTTAAATTTTAAAAGTGATAATTTGCACTACTTAAAAAAATAATAATGATGTTGACAAAATGTCTTATGCAAAGGCCATGTCTGTTATCACTGACAAGTTCAAGTTTAAACAATGGAGAAGAAATATGACAGGAAAACTTTCTAGTTCTGACCAAAATCTGTCATCTGGGTGCAAAATTTAGTTTTTCTTGCATAAAATTTATATATTTTTGTTATTCAGGCTGAAGAGGAAAAACTATGGGGCTTGTTTTAAATGCAAAGCTCAGAAGTCATCTTTCTGGATGATACAGGGGTGCACCAATAGTTGTTTCTCAGACAACAATCACATTTACTGTCACCTTTCTATGTTTTTTTTTTTTTTTTAGTTGGGAAGTTCTTGCTTGTTTCTACAAGAAAATACAGTCTATAAAAAGATTGTGTCTATAAACTGTCCTGCGTCTAGTTCGAACGTGTCATGTTGCTTTAGTACTTTTATTTCCAAAACCAAATTCATGCCCATTTGGTAATGTATGCCAATTTTTATCATTTATCGTAAACAAAATGTACTTTTACTAAACGTATTAAGCATATTTGCATGCTTATGAACATACTTAAATATAATTTTGGGTGTTTTTCTGCTCTTTTTTTTTTTTTTTTTTTTTTTTTTTAGTAGCGTTTGTTTTGTCAGTAAAAAAGCACCCCGAAAAACACAATAAGCTATCAAGATAATCCTACAGCATATTCATGAAACAATTCCTGTTGTTCCTTATTTTGGATAAAGGGAAGTCTGATACGTTCCCATACAATGGTGACATTAGTTCTCTGCATTTAACCCATCACACCTGAGATATACTCAGGTGGAGCTGTGGGCAGCTAAGTGCCTGGAGCACTATTAGGAATTAGGTGTCTTGTTCAAACACAAACAAAACAATTGGGGGGAAACAAATGCAGTGTTGCTTTATATTGAATTAAAACTTTTAGCAATGCACTGCATTAAAACAAAAATCCTCAACTATTGAAAAAATACTAAAAATTGAAGTAGTGTTTACTTGTTTCCTTTAGTCTGGAAGATAAATGAAGATTTGATAACGATGTGTTGAAATAAATGATTGCAGTTGACATTCAAATCTTAAAGTGAACTTGTTGGTGTTTTACATTAATAATAGCTTATTTTTAGCTTAAGATTATTCGTCACCATCACTGACTTGCTGTGTGTGACAGTAACACGTTATTTTTGACCCCCAGCAAAAGATGATGCGCCAAGTGACTACCAGTGATTTCTGCATAAACAGCAGGCCATCTTGCCTCGCAGACAACAGCCACCACCCTGTTTCTCATTTTGAACTGTGCACCTCGCAGCCCAGTAAGTTCTACCCTCCTCCCCCTCCGACGTCCCTCCAGATGACGCTGGCTCCCATGGCCTTACCAGCCCAGAGCCACAAGTCCATGGTGTGCCACAGACAGGATGTTCTTGTGGGTGACCCGCGCTCACCTGGGAAAATTCCTGTCATGAAAGGCACCGCCCAAACGCCGGAGGACGGCAAGAAAAAGAGCAAGGGAGCCGGGAAGACGGGCAGACGCGGGAGGCCTTTGGGAACCACCAAGCTAGCTGGGTACAGAACCAGCACCGGGAGACCCCTTGGTACAACCAGAGCCGCTGGGTTCAAGACGAGTCCGGGAAGGCCACTCGGTACAACCAGAGCTGCGGGGTATAAGGTCAGCCCCGGACGGCCTCCTGGCAGCATCAAAGGCCTATCTCGTCTCAACAAACTGGCTTATAGTAGCACCTGCAGTGGAGCAGCGTTCCCCTACCCACTACCACACAAAGAAATGCTCTGTGAACCTTCCTGCAAAGACAAGACGTCCAACGAGCAAAGGCTCTGCTCTGATTCTTCTTCACCCTGAACCGCTGGAACAATAGACACATGTACAGGTTTCCAGCTTCTTATTAGGGGTGGTTGTAATATTTCTCACTGTGCTGTCGGGCTGAAAGGAGGAAATCCTTTTCAAATGTTGTTGTTGTTGTCAGTCGTGTGCCTGCCATCTAATCTACTTATTAGCTTTTCGATGCTCTTACTGGAGGTCGGTAGTACACATTGCTGTAAATGTGTTCTTGGGAACTAAAGCAACTGATCACTGAGCTTTCACCTAACGGCTCCCATAGTGGAAGCTCTAGTATTTAATTCAACATTTTAAAAGCAGTTTAAACGAAAGGAAATGCTTCTTATAAAAAAAATAAAAAAATATTTTGCATTTTAATTGCTGCCAACAAAGAAGACTTCTTACTGATGATCACCATGTGAAATCTATTAGGCAAGGAGCAAATCTACGTGTAAAGTTCAGCACACTTCAGCTGAATTAGCTGATGTCAGCATTATCATTTGTATTCTTAATGTTTAAAAAATGTGAATAAGGGAAAAAAAAAAAAAAAGGCAGATGAGAAACAGAAGTACCATCTTTGCTGTAGGAACGTTGGTATAAAATCGGTTACCTGTTCTTAAGGAGATACAAAGACACCGAGTGCTCAGCTCAAAGGCACTCCAGACTGGTAGTGACCAAAACGTTTTACTACATTTGACACTAAAATCATGATTTCGTGGTAGTTTTAACTCTAGATGTTACTTCCAAAATGTCTACGTATTATTATTTGCATGCAGATGTCTTTAAAACAGCCGGTTGTGCTTACAGGTTGTAAGAAAAAGGGACTGTTTGTTGTCTTTGTTACATTTTTTGTTGTGTTGTTTATATTCTATAAGTTCCTATTGAGATCGTATCCCTCACCATAAAAGCAACATTTGAGATAGAAATCGTCAACACACGTCACCATTTTCTCTATAGATGTTTAGTTTTTCAACTCGTGAGTTTATCAGCTTGATTTTTGATACTCGTACGTGTCGCACTACAAACCCCCGATCTGTACATTTCACACGGAGCTGCATTTAAGTACAAGTTAGTTTCACCGGGAAGCAACAAACGATGAACTTTACCTCGTTGACATTAGTCTTTGATAAGCCGTTTTTGAATCGGAAACTGTGAAGAGCAACTCGGACTTTTTAATTGTTAAAAAAAATATTTAATTTAAACCCTTTGTTCATTTCTTTAAAACCTAACTGTTATAATGAAATGCGATCATTTTATGTAGTAAACCTTTGTCTTAACGAGAAAGGAGCATATTATTTTTTTCATTGCAGTGTATATTCAACTTGCTACAATAAGGGCAACTAATTGTCTGAGAATATATTTGCATCTTTTTTGTTTTATTTTATTTATGTCACGGAGCAATTTAAAATGTTATCAACCTTTTTTTTTTTCTGATCCTCTTTAGATAGGAAGAGCTTCCAAGCCCATTTGGTTGATGGTTTCACGAGCTGCGCCAAACTTAAAATAATTTTGTTTGTAGGAACAGCTTTGTGATGGCACTTTGTCGGAAGGATTCGCACAAACTCAGACGTACTGGAGTTTGTCCGAGTCCACTTCTCTTTTATTCCAGGTCCAGATGTCCCTCAGCATGTCGGCAGGGTATCACATTTCTTTCTACTCGGCCCGAGATCAAATATGGAGGCACTTGTACAAAAGCTGCTGTTTAAAGAGGTTCAAATCTCTAAACTCTGAGGATATTCTGAATGTTCGTTTGTTCTCTGTAAATAACGTCGGGGCTTTTTTCTGTCCATCTCGCACCATTCAAGCTCCAGCTGGTTAAACTAGTCTTTTCCCAGGTGTGTTCTCAGTCTCCCAGCGACTAGCACCAAATTTTATTTGTCCAAGTACACATATATTTTTAAGTGTTTATCACCGATATGAGACAAATTATCTGAGCTCTGTCCTAATTTGTGGTTAGAAAACGTGAGTTACACTAGGAATTCAGGAATCGTATACTTGTGTTTTTATAGACCGTGTAGTCACGTAATCATGTAATCGGTTGTTCGTTCATTTTTTCTTCTTTTTTTTTCAATACATTAAAAATAGAAATGAAGAAAGACATTGTTTTTTGCAACAATTTAACATAATGTAAATACTGTGAGACCACATACAAAATGAAACAAAAGCAATTTAGGTATGATGAAGCTATTTTATAAATGTTGAACATTTGAGTTTTTTCATTATTCATATATCGATGACATTTGTATGTGGAGAAATAGGATAAATTCACCGAGTTACTCTGGCCTAACAATCTGAAACTCAAATTTGGTGCAATAATATCTTGTGTGTGTATAATAGGCTGTTGATACTTTGATACTTTTTTTTTATTATCATTATTGTTGCTGTCTTTTTAAACTTGTGTATAGAAACACCTTCAGTACAATTTTATTTGTGCATTTTGACAGACGTTGAAGAAATGTTAAACACATCCATTTTTGACACTTTACCAAAGAATGTATTGACTGTGGATATTTAATCTTTGTGTCTTTAGGAATACAAGATCTTGAAAATAAAAAGTTAGCATTATTGTTCAGATTAAAACATTAAAATGTTGTCCAAATAATTAAAATACCAGTTTGTTGAATTTAACATAATTGATGTAAACCTTCCTTTTAATTGTTCGTTTTTTTTTAACATTCATCTATTATTCTGCTTTAAGCTTGGTTTTCATTTCGAAATATTTGTAATTATGTTTCATTCTTCACCGGTATTTTTTGGTCTAATTCTGATTCTATAACTCATTTTCATTCTTAAAAACACTGAATGGTTATGATGTTGCTTGAATATAATCATTAGAGCTAAACATGTTAGCAGGGTGCACTGTTAGCTGGTTGGCCCTTGTTCAGTAAATACAGTAAAAATATAAGTATTAATAATACAATATTTATCGATATGGCTCATTGTATCAGCGTTCTGGGCCGACTGAATATCAAAAGCAACACCTGCTTGCACAATTTGTACACAATGATATGTGTACTTTTACGTTAGCTTCTTTTTGGTTAGCATCGGGTCCTAAAAGACCTTTCATACTGGGAAATAATACTGGTGTCCATTTTCTAGATAAATATCCGATATAGTCCTACTAAAAAGTTCTTTATCTTTTGACAACCCAAAATAAACCTTGTTTGTTCAAATGCATGTTTTAGCATTTTAAAAATGTTTACAGCGCGACAGCAGCCTATAGGAGATGGAGTTTAGTTAAAGCTCTTGAAAACTAAATTTAGTGGTAAAGAAATTACCGTAAACAGTAAGATTTTTTTATTTATATTTTTGTCAGGAAAAAACTTTTTAGGAGGTCCTTTTTGTTTATGTTGCATATTTAAGCACCCAGCAGCTTTATAGCGTGCTAGCACGGTAAAGCAGCTCATGTGAGCTTGGGTTTTGACAAGGTTTTTAAAAATTAAACAAATTCTGCGTCAAAGAAATGTTAAAAGTAATTAAGGAAAAATGCTCTTTGTTTTGTGTAGGTTGCATTGTTTAACATTCAACAGAATTATGGCGTGCTAGCTTGCTAAAGTAGCTTGTATGAGCTTTGGTTTGATTAAAGTTCTTTTAAAAAATCAGAAGAATCAAATGTTAAAGAAATGAAACTGCAGAATTAAATGTTTAGTTTTTCCATTTAGATTTTGACAACTTGTTGAGAAAGTTGGCATTTTCTCCCTAAGCTTAGAGTTCCCGCCTTTTTTTTGTTGTTGTTTTTTTTAATTTTTTTTAGATTTTGCGTGTTTCTTGGACAATTTTAACCCCCAGAGTTTGATTTGTTGTAACTTGTGCTATTTAAAAAAGATCCAAGATTTTCATAGCTGGAGACAGAAAAGATTAGTGGTGTTTTATGAACTACCTGATAAATTGTTGTAGTTGGCTAACGGATATGCTAACGGTTGTTGACGGTGCACAAAGGTCCTATTTCACTGCAGTAGAAATTATCCATGTGGGTAAAAGTATAAAAGAAAAAGTCTAAACATGTTTCAGCTTTCTATTAACACGGATGCAGCTCCTAATAAAAAGTAACTAGCCCCGCTAGAAAGTTACATAATAATCTTATGACGTGTACATGTATCAAATAATTTTAAACTGATATTTTAAGGTTTTGTTTAAAAAATAGATATCGTCTTTGCTGTTTTTTCAGATTTTAGTCAACATTTAGATGGGATTTTACTATCAGAGTATCAAACTTTGGATTTGGTCATTTTTAGACACATTTATTCTGACTGAATGACGATAACAATAGTGGAACACTTATGGGTGTTTCATCAGTCCATTTTAATTTGATTTAATTTTAAAGAAAAATAATGAAATGACAATTACATTAAGCTGTGCAATTATAGAAAACCACCTTAATTTTAGATAACATGGTTAATCTAAAGACATTAATGCATTTTAACTATTATTTCAGGTCAGTAATGAAATACCACAGAGCATGTTTAAATAGTGCTTTTATTTTTCATATTATTATGTTTCTATGTCATTTTATCTATTACCACGTTCAGCATTACTTCACATTTGTATTTTTGAGACGTTATGAAGTCCATTTATTCCTGAAGTGTGACTGACGAAGCCTGTATAGCTTTGTACAATTTCCATTCTATTCCTGCATGATTGTGTAGTAATGTTCAGAAGTTGTGTAATAAATCTTAAAATTAACACTCTGTGGTGTGTCTTGATTTTCAGTTACTTTTGGCTTTTATGTTTGTGACGTCCTGACAGTATTCTCCATCCAGACCACAAAGATGATGAACTTTCATTAGTCCCCCAGAAGCATTTTGTGTATAAAAATGTCATTAAATTGATCTGCTGAGATATGTTAGGGGGGAGAAATGGATGTCATCATGAAAGTGTCAGAATCAGTGTTTTTGCAGAATTTACTTTTCTGTTTTTTCAGTTTTATGTACACAGCAAAAAGGTTAAATCATGTCATCTGGAACAGTTCCTTTAAGTGAGAAACATTTCGTCTCCCATCCGGAAGATTTCGTCAGTCTGCAACCTGCCAAACAGATCTGTCTGAGGCGGATACCAGAGTGAGCACCATGGATCGTTTATTTAAAGTAATCAAGCACAACGTCGATCAGTGAGTGGGCCAGGCCACCGAGAAATGTCCAGGTACTCCCGATGGCCAGTCCGCTATATAAATAAGCTGAATTGAATTGAAAGTATATTTGTTTAATTTTACCTCTCTCTCTCTCTATCTATCATCCACCCATCCATCCATCCATCATGTAAATCTAATAGCTATGTTGTTATATTTATCCAATAAAAACAATTTTACCGCGTTTTATAATGTAGATGGATTTTGTTTTGTTTCACTACTTTTATTTACTTTTTATTCTATATGCATTTTATGGCTGTTTATTGTGTGAACCTTATTTGTGGTTTGTCTAAAACAAGTCTCTTGTAAATGAGTCCTCGTGACTCAATGAGACTAACCTGTATAAATAAAGGGTAAATGAATGAAAGAATGATAAAAGCCTATAAAAACAAACAAGTGTTTTTTTTTTTTAATACCAATTTTTATGTAATGAAACGGTTATATAAATTCCAGGGAAACAACAGTGAAAAGCAAATATTCTAGAAGTAAAGTTCAATTAATTTTACTGGTCTGTTTCTGTATGTGCGAATTATTTTCATTTATTCATACGTTTTTTTACGGGTTTGCGCATGCGCAACACACAGGTTGTCGCCCTCTACTGACCAGAGACCGTAACTGCACAGCACATGTATTCGGGTCGGGTCGTTACTGCCTGTGGTCGGTAGAGGGCGCTGACGCACCTCAACTTTTGAGAGCAGCATGTTGGGATATGAGAGCGCTCCGGCGGCGCGTTACCGCCATGTCACCTAGAGAGAAACATTTAGCGCTTCTTTCTATTTTAGGGCTAATTATATTCGCTTTGTATTACATCCCTACTTTTCTTTACGCTACTTTAATTCTTGTAATTTGTTGTTTCGCTTGTTACTATATCAGCGGTGAACCAATTCCCGCCAGGTTAGGCCCCAATCCGCGGGCTGGACTAAACGTCCCAGGCGTACTCCGGCGCTGGTTGTCGGGCTGGGAGACGACCGGCGTGTCGGTGGCCGCGCGTTGCAGGACGAAGAGCAGCAGTAGACCCGAGCACCGAGAGACAGAGGGACACTTGAGACAAAGACCCAGTGAAACCGGAGTTTATCGAAGGGAAGCCCTGGCAAGTGACTCGTTTCTGTTCAGCCCCAGGGATTTCCTCATGGGTAGTTACATCGGGAAAGCCGAAAGTCCGACCGCCGACTCTGGAAGGCCGAGAGCCGGGAGGAATCCCCGAGAGCAACTGCGAGAGAAGCTGTCCAGACCCAACCATGCTGTTTATACCCCGAACAGGAGGCTTTCGTTCACTGGGTATGTACCAGGATAAAGTAACCATCGATGGGGACAGGGTCGTTCAAAATGTAAAAACTTATCGGCGGCTTTTAATGTTTAATCCTTTAGCTTTGAGTACTCTAAACATCTGCAGAATATAGCTAACAACAGTAAGCCCAAAGTGGAAACATCTGGTTAAATTTAGATTGTATTCTGTAAAAAACACACACAATAATTAAAGCTTTTGTCTGCTGTAGAGTAAAAAAACTATCTACCATTAAACCCAGTTTGTTGAGTCCCACCTGGAACCAGTGTTATCTACATCTTTTAGTAATATGTGATTCATATTATTATTATTATGCATTAATGTTTGATTCTGTTGGTTATAACTTGAAAAAATAGAAGTAATTTTGTCTTTGCAGCATGTTGCTTGTTTATTTATTTGTTAAGTGCTATATTAAATAAAAAAAAACTTAATTTGAATAGTTATTTTTAACATATTCAAGGTTAAATACTGGATTGAAAATTGGCATGAAAGAACTTTTTGTTCTCCCAAAAACACGTTAAAAGTCATTAAGAAAGTTAATACACTGTACACTCACAAACTGTATATATTTATACCTATAGCATATTCAAAGCAACTTACTGTATATTGTACTATATATATCTACCAATTTATTTTTCTTGCTAAGCACTTCTGGATAGATGCAAACTGTATTTCGTTGCTTTGTACCTGTGACATGTGCAATGACAATAAAGTTGAATTCTATTCTATTCTAAAACCACAGAAGACCTAAAGAATTGCAACAAAGCCAGTCTTGTTTTGCAGCTTAATTTAAAGAAATTAAGGCTGGCTCAAGACTTTTGTGAGGTACTTTTTGTCACCTAATCTGTCAGCTGAAGTGTGATGAATGTCTTAATTTATTCAGAAAATGTGAAATTATACACAAACATTGACAGCTTCAACATTTATGAGACCTTTTTTTTAATAGTAGTTGCACATAACCATTTGAAAGTGATGTTTGTGCTGTCGAAGATAATCAGAGTAGTAATATCTGTGATGGACAAATGTGGCTGAATGTGAAGAAAATGTTTTTGAAGAGGTTTTTCATATCCCATTTTTTTTGTTGTTCCTTACAGGGAGCCGCTGACTACAGCAAGCGGATTCACCATCACCCCCCAGCGTCACTACCCCCTTCAGCAGCCGAGTGTCTCCTCTGTGGGACTCTTGCCTCCTGTCAAGTGGGACAGCTTCAGAAAGAAGAGCGTCCTGAGTCCCCGAAACGCTCAAGCTGCCCTCAGCCCCGTCACCGTAAAGATAGCCAGGCCTGACCACAACAACCCCAGGTATTTGCCCGTAGCGTGTTTTACATCATTTTGGAATGATTTTCAAATGGCTTAAATATCTCTCTAATACTCCCTTCTTTATTAAAAATAAATACAAAAGAAGCAAAGAAGAGCTTTCAGATTACATCTTCATAACTCTAACGCCAACATATTCTTAACCGTAGGAAGGGTTTCACAAATAAACATTTATTAAAACAAATGCAGACACAGACAAGTCCTGAGATTTTTTATAAATGAACTGCGTTCTGTGTTCCTAATTTTGCATTCGGTGCTCGGCGGACCCCTGATTTCCAGCGTCCTCACTGTCTTCTGTTTGGTTTGTAGTATAAATCATCTCAGGTGTGCAGGGCTCACCCGAGCGCCTGCAGACCCCTGCTCCAAAGAGAGCGTCCTCAAGGTGTTGAAGGAAAGCCGCAAGAGGGAAGTGGAGGACGAGGACCGGAGCTTCACGACTGAACAGAAAAGCAAAAGAAGGTATCGGGGCTGAAACAATCAGAACGTCAGCGCGTGAGCACTTTGAGTCGCTTTGTGTCGAGTTCAGGACAGATTGAACTCAATCTGGTTTGGTGGGGATTCCAACCTTGATTCCAATCTTGTGTGGATGTGAAAACTTTAATCCCTAAAAAAAAAAAAAAAGCCTCTTGAACCCTTTAGCAAGCTTCCTCTCTGATAACTGTTACTTTAAATTGCCCTGATTCATGTTTAATAATCCAGGTTAAAAAAAATCTAACAAGTTGAGTCAAGTCCTCTGGATGGATTCTTTGTTGAAAAGTTTTATACAAAGGACTTCTTCAGTCAGAGGTCCTGCGACAAACTCAGTCTTATAAATAGCACCTTCTCACAGTGGATCATCCAGTTTGCTGCTGACAGCCAGAACTAACTATTCACATGTAAAAGGAGGAGCATCAGCCTAACAACTGGTCGTTAGTGCCTGATGGCTGCTTGCCAGCGGTCACTCTTTCAGGGATGAAGCTGTTCACATTCTTGACAGAGGGAAATGATGGTTTGAGAGAGAGGAGTAAATGAAGCAATCTTTGTAAAGAGAACCTGTCCATCATTAAACAGGGGCGGGGGTCTCTGCGTTCAACTATCACCCTCTTATAATGCTGCTATTGCTATTATTTTTCAGCAAATAGCAAGCAGCCATCAGGGCACTAACGACCAGTTGTTAGGCTTATGCTCCATCTTTTACTTACATGTGAATAGTTAGTTCTGACTGTCGGCAGCAAACTGGGTGATCTACTATGATAAGGTGCTATTTAGAAGACTGAGTTTGTTGCAGCTCCTCAGACTGAAGAAGTTCTTTGTATAAACGACGAAACGTTTCAACAAAGAAGAGTCCGTCCAGTGGACCTGACTCAGCCTTGTTAGATGCCTTAAATTGTGCTTTCAGTGTTGATATTTTCCGTTGTGATGCTTGCTGTGCTGTCCCTAAGTCTCCGTCTTGTTTCTGACCAATAAATGCCTTGTTAATTGAGCTAAAATCAAAATAGAATAATAAACGGTATTTCCTATTAAATCATCTTATATATTTTTACATGCATTTTCATTTTTAAGGCGTAATGACAGCAGTGGAAGTTCACACTCTGCTTTTGAGCCGCTGTTGCCCAATGGAACTCCATCACAGCTGGTTCCCAAGTTAGTAAACTTATTATTATTATTATTATTTTAACCTAAATCATATTTTGGGATATTAGCTGGATTGGTCTGTGGTTTTGTATGGAATATTATATGGCTAAGTGTTTATGCTTTCCAGGCCAGGGAGCCTTAAAAGAGGGATGACCTCGGTGGCAGAAGAGAGCACCATAAAGAGGTCTCGCACCTCCTCCATCAGTTCTGGCTCTGGGGTTCATTTCCAGAGAGGAACTTCTGGCACCAAGAGAAATGCTATTCAAAGCTCCTACAGCTCTTCAGCAGGCCTCAGCCCGGTACGTTAACTGCTGTATTACGTCACTTACGTGTTTGCAGAGATAAACTTCAGATTTTGAGATTCTGTATCGCTGTTTACCTTCACAGTGGAAGAAACCGTCTACTCCCAGCTCTCCTCTGTCCAGCCCCGTATCATCTCGCTCTCAGACTCCAGAGGGGGTCTCCAAAAGACCCAGGTCTGCCTCTTCCCGTTTGCTGATCGTCGTTCACGTTAAATTAAAATGATTTTATTGAGCGTGTGGTTTTCTCAACAGAGAGGACGAGGCACAGTCTCCCAGCTCGGCCTCCTCAGTGAAGTCGGATCACACAGCAGCAGAAAAGGCTCCTGATACTTGTGAGTTACCTGCACTCCTTATTTTGTCCCATAAATGTGTGTCAGACTTGATGCATAAACCGAATTTGAGGGTGAATAAATGTTAAGATCATCACTCATCTTCCATTGTAGTGAATCAATGCAATATAAAAGTTTGAACACAAACGATGGTTGTTTTGTTATAAGTTTTGTTTTTCCTGGGGAAAACAAAGGATAGACTCAAGGTTTAAGGATTCGATGTCCTTTATTTGTCATTCGCACCACATTTGGTACATGTGGTGGAACGAAATTGTGTACACAGGGTCCCAGTTACATCCAACAAAAGTATAAAATGTAAAAGAAAAACAGTAATAAGCTCTAAGATATGAACTAAGAAAAATGTTAACTGACAATCAGTTAAGGTCAAATCAAGGTGCTTTAGGTGAAGTTTGTGTTCTGATGTTTCAGCCAAACAAACTCCAGTCCCCAAAGTCCCCACTACAGCCTCAACAGACTCCACTGGAAGTGGTGGGAAGAGAAAACGGAAGATCCAGCTGGTGTCCAGCCACCGGGACGATCACATCTCTCTGGTTAGGAGTGCGATAGGTTCTCTGAGTTTGCAGTGTTGTGAAGTGTTTCCATATCGGAGTGATGTTGATGTTTTTTTGGGTGGGGGTCTGTGTTTGTTTGCAGCCTCCCCCTCCTGAGCTGGGCTACTCCATCACAGCAAAAGATCTAGATGAAGAGAAAAGGGTTGCCATCAGTAAGATCCAGAAAGTCCTGGAGACGCCTGGTGAGTCGAGGAATTCATCATTTTTTACTCTTTGATGATGCTACACTGTAACGCCACGAAAGAGTTCTTCATCCACCTTAGGTCGTCCTTTTAATTTATTTCTGTTTAGCTCCAGAACCAGAGAAGTCCGTGTCTCCTGCAGCCACCGCTTCCTCTCAGCCTGCTCCCTCCACTAGCTCCACTACCACCACCCTGATCAGCCTTCTGACAGCCCCCCTGCCCACTGCATCCAGCTCTGCGGTCCCGGTAATCAACCTGGATCCGAGCCCGGGCAGCAGCGTCACCACAGCTCCCGCCGTCACCAACTCACTGCTCGAGACTCTTAAGATGAAGACGAGTGCTCCTGCTGACGCCACATCTGCTGCCAGTGCAACTACAGGTGTGACCTCCGACCCCAGTGTCTTTAAACACCTCGTTAGATTCAGAGGGCTGTGATGCAATACGATTTTTGTTGCATCTCAATGCATCTATAATAAAGTATTCATTCAATGTAGGCTGCTGTTTAAAATAAAGAATACACACTAATCAAATCAATACTGTGCACATCAATATATTGTAGTGAAATCTATGATTGTTTTTGTTGATCACTTCGTTTTTGGGTCTGTCTGGAGCCTGTTTTTAAATCAGAGCTACAAATATGACGAAACGCACAGCGCTACTTGCTAGGCCTGTCACGATAACACAATTTTGCTGGGCGATTAATTGTCTCAGAAATTATTGCGATAAACGATAATATTGTTTGAAATTTGACAATAATTATTAATTAATGTCAATTTTAAAAAAAAAAAGGTTGGTTAATTTATTTTGAGTGTAGTACCCTTTTTTTGACCACCAGATGGCAGTATAAGATTGAACCAAAGGATGGATAGTGAGGGAGCGAGCAGCGTGTCTAAGAAAAATGGGAGGGAGGCCCCTTGACGTGACATGGGCTGTCTCTCCTTCCTCTTTTTTGGTTCTCAAAATGGCGGACGCTCTGTGTGGTTTGAGCTCTTTAGCATAGCATTTTTCACACAAAGCTTTTAATTAAAAATCAGTCAACAAGTTCTCAGCTTCTCTTTTTAGAGAAAAACTTTTTAGACGAAGGCACGAGTTTCAACCGTGAATTTTGGAGCTTCGGCAAGACTGAGGTTTTTTTCCCCGAGATCGGCCTGTTAGCTTAGCACGTAGCTTAGCTTCTCAGCTTGGCTGCTTTTAACGATCCAAAAACGCCAATTTGGGCGGTTAAACGGATTTTAAAGAGAAAGGGAGGGGTCAGTGAACAGCACCGGAGTTGAGCCTTTTGTCATCCAGTGTCTTCAGTAAAAAGAGACACGAAGAAATGATAAAGCCTATCAACAAAAATGAGGACGATCATTTTAATTTATCATGCGATTAATTGATTTATTGTTTATCGTGACAGGCCTACCACTCACTCATGTGCACGCCATAAACTCTTCACTGTGCAACAGGATCTTAACATTAAAAATCTGTTTTTAACATTTTTAAGTCAATTTACAATTTCTAATGTCCACATTGTGATGCACTGGAAAAAAAATGTTTTGACTCCACCCCTAATTGTTGCCAACTTAATCCAGTAGTTTTAGATTTGAGCTGTTTTTATCTACGTTTTAATTTTCACGCTTTTTCGTTATAAATTCTTTGTGTGTCTCATTTCTGTAGCTTCTGTATCAACCACACCTCTGCAAGTCGGTAGCTTTACCCTGAAGACATCAACTGCAGCCCAACAGCCGCCCCCTTACTCCCAGTGTCAGCCCCCCTCGAGTGCGGGGCAGCCCCCTGCCTTCACTCACATGCTGGGTCAGGTCTCCAAGGCTCCCACCAGCACCTCTTCAGCACCTGTAGCAACCTTATTTGGGCTGCCCAGTCAGGTCAGCGCTCCCTCTACTTTGTCGCCCTCCACCACTGTCACCTCCACTGCCCCCCCAGCCAGCAGCTCTGAGTCTGTCATTAACCAACCAGCCAACCCCCTGCTGGCTGCAGGGTTCAAGCCCATTTTCCCTGCCGCCACCACCAACACCTCCTCGGCTGCAGCATCTTTCGACGGCAAAATGTCTCTCCAAAACTTCAAGAATGTATTTGGAAACGTCACAACAGCTGCAGCCCATGCACAGCCCCCCTCCCTCACAGCCTCTACACTATCTGCCAGCGCTGCACCCTCAGTGTTTGGCGCATCAACAAGCAGCACCACATTAGCACCATCTTCGTTTTCCGGCTTCAGTAACGCGTCTGCTGCAACAGCCTCCACAGGTTCGGTCACAGCTGCACAGCCTGCAGCCCAACCAGCTGCTGTGAAGTCCCTCTTTGGAAGCTGGTCCGCCCCGCCCACAACCAGCAGCAGCAGCTCCTCGTCGGCACAGCCTCGCACCACAGGGAGCACGTTTCAGTTTGGAGCTGCTGCCACGCCGACGACTGCAGCAGCAAGCGGTGGCCCCGCTGCCACCACCTCCAGCACAGGCTCCTTCGCGTTCGGCGTCACCCAGTCCGATCCTCAGGCGTCCAGCCAGAAGGTGTTTTCCTTCGGTCAGTCTGCGCCGGGTCAGAACACGACCACTGCTTCGTTCGGAGCCTTTGCAATGACCAACGCGGCCTCCACTGCTGCCGCCGCCCCCGCCACCACCCAGTCCACGTTCACGTTTGGAAAGTCAACGTTCGAAGCCCCAGCAGCGCAGCCGACCTTCAGCTCCGCCGCAGCACCGAAACCGTTCACCTTCGGAGCTGGAGGCACGTCAGCTGCGCCCGCTTCTAACCCCACCCCGGCCCCCTTCACCTTCGGAGCCGCCGCCGCCACCACCACAGCAGCCACCTTTGGGACCCCGGCTAAACCGGCGTTTGGAGCCAGTTTTGCTTTTGGCGCCAACTCGACTCCTTCAGCTGCACCCTCAGCCGCGCCGAGCTTTGGCGCACCTGCCCAGACTCAGAGCTCCTCTTCGATCACATTCGGAGGCGCCGCTCCTCAGCCGGCTCCCTCCAGTAACGCACAGCCTGCACCCGGAGGGTTTAACTTTGGTGAAAGTATACCTCGCCCCCAGTTTGGAACGCCAGTTTCTAGTACTCCTGCTCCACAGATGGGAACCTTTAACTTTGGGGCTGCAGCAGTGGACAAACCAGCTTTTGGTGAGCATTAAATCTACAGCCGGATTATACCAAATTAAATTAATCCTGTTTGTTGTTGTTTTGATTTCAGCAGAATTCATCTGCTTTTCATTTAATCCAGTTCACACTGTTTTTAAAAATGTATTTATTTTCCTGCAGGGACGTCTGTTTCATCGTTTGGTCAGAGCGCTGCAGGTCCAATTCCCTTCGGCGGCCCTGGAACCCCCGCCCAAGGCTTCAGCCCTGTTTCATTCGGTAAATTAATAATGAGATTCTTGATTAATTTTTTTGGATCATCAAAACCATTCTGTTTTGCTTTGCTTTATTGGTGCAAAATATTTTACATTTTCTTTTCCCCAACAAATACAATGTTTTACTGGGTGTTTAGTGTTGATGTGAAGCAGCTGCAGATGTTGCAATAATGTTACAGTTCTACGAGGCTGCCATTGTTTGCAGTTTGCCTTTATTAATTGAATTTCGCCATTTGATGTCATTTATTTTAGTATTATGTCACCAAGCTGTGACTGTTGACAACTTTAAATTGTGAGAAAATGGGTGATTTTTCCGCAGCAATCTCACGAGTTATAAATATTTTTATTGGGTTAAAATCGTTTCATGGGGCTCTGACGCATTGAAAGTGCGTTACACTGCAGATTTTATTTATTTATTTTTAAAGGTGTTTGTATGACTTGACTTTATTTTGCCTTCTTGGTTCTGGAGCGTTTTATAATGAAATTATTATTTGTTTATTTTATAAAGTAGGCTACATTTGAATAAATACTTTTAAGTGAAAGTTCAACTGGAAGAGTTCCAGGGAAATTTAAAGCTTAATTACACTAGTCCCTCGTTTATCACGGGGATCCATACCCTGAAGCCCTGCGATAGGTGAAAAACCGCAAAGTAAGAATAGTAGTACAAGTATTAAGTAGTAGTTTATTTTAGTATATATATATATATATATATATATATATATATATATATATATATTGTATTTTCCACCGTACACATCACATTAGTCCATATTTGTCTACTAACGTGGGAAAATCCATAAATACGTCGCTTTGCCGTACAAGTCGCATCTATTATGCATCACCGCTGACGCGTTGTTTGTTACGCGTCACCGCTGACAACCCGGAAATGTGGGCCGGTGTTGTGCCAAAAACCGATGGGCTGCCAAATGGTGGGGGTGTGCACGGGAGGACTGTTAACAAGATTTTAACAAGATTAACTCTTCAAAACAATTATTTATTTGCTCAAAATTATATTAAACGTGTGTCTTAATCTAACGTTGGCTTAATAAATGCACTTTGAGGGTCAAATCAGCTGTATTTTAAAAAATAGTTTTGCTGCTGAGGTGCTCCGTGAACACGCAGAGGAAGAGAAAAGGGAGGAGGAACGCGGCTCATTTCTCTGAAAATTAACAAGAAAAACACCTAAACAATTATTTTTTTGCTCCAAGTTATAGTAAAGGTGTGTCTCAGTCCAACGTTTGCTTAATAAATGCACTTTAAATGGTCAAATTAGCTGCATTTCGCAGGGGCGGTGCAGCTGGTTTGATGGTTCCAAGCAGCGAGCAGAATGCAGGTGGGGAGACTGTGGCAGGCCGATTGAGTCATTAATAGCTGGTGACGATTCTCAGTCATTCAGGACATGGTAAATTCAAAAAAGTTTAAGAAAAAAAATAAAATATAAAGTTACGTGTAATAAATAAAATCCAGTTGTTTTTGTCTGAACTTTTTTGAATTTGTAATTATAGTCAAGTTTACCTATTACATTGTACAACAGCATGCCATACATCCATCATTACACTGCTGCCATCAAGTGGCTGAAAGTGGTACTGTTCTTTTTTTTTTTCATTTAGAATGAATGAAAACAGTCATATCTCAGCCAAAAATGGTTTATAAATATGGAATAAAAAAATCCATAAATATGTTGCTTCGGCCTGTAAGTCGCAGGGCATGTAAATTATGCAAAAAAACTGACTTATAGACCAAAAAGTACCGTATAGTAAGGCATTTTAAACCCTTCCCACACTCTCAATATTCTAAACAATGTTTCTAAACTCTACACACTCTAAAAGAGCACAAAATGTCATGATTTCCCTCTCTGTGCCTCTGCTGCTCTCAGCCGATCAGCTGCAGCAGGAAGTCTATCCTGCACTGTGGGCTGCACAAATGTGCAGCAGGTGCTAAATAATTTATTTTAAATAAAAATGTCATGCCGATCGTGCAGCTCATCCATCAATCAGCCAATTGTGTGTCTTGTCCAATCTTATTTTGAAAAACCGCGATAGAGTGAGGCTGCGGTAAACGAATCATGAAGTAGCGAGGGACTATTTTAAGTGCACACAGAAGAAGCAACGTTTCCAAACTCACAGAATAATCGTTTTCAACAGTCCTGATTACAGAATTGACCAAAACAATATTGATTTTTATTTTTTTTTTGTTTTAACAGAGATGAGTTGTCACTGTTTACAAACTTAGGACAAAATCTTCAATTAGCTGATGATCTGAGCACATGTTCAAACTATAAAGAGTTTTAGTTGTGAGTTTTAACACAGACCTTGTTTACAGGATCACCGGCGACTCCCGCCTTCTCTATCGGAGCTGGATCCAAGACGCCCGGTGCCCGGCAGAGGCTGCAGGCTCGGAGGCTGCACAACAGGAAGAAGTAACCAGGCAGACGAGTCCAGCGCGGCTCTTCAGAGGACTTCAGCTGATGCTGCTACGGCTAACCTGACTAACATCGCTCTGTTTTAAGCCCAACTTCCACCAATCAGGCCGCCATCATCCTCCGTCTGTGTCTCTTCGGTCCAGCAGTGGGTTGAGCGGGCCCAGAGTGTTTGCAGACAACACGGCCCGGCGAGGGGGATGCAGCAGCGGGGAGAAAGAATCCACGACGACGTGCTATACTTGAAAAGACAGTCGATTAGTTTGGGTCCGAACAAAAAGTTCCTCGTTTTTACAGAAAATTGACACTCCCGTTGATAGAGGAAAAAGCCGAGTCGGGCAAAGAAGCGCAGCCTCGGCTCAGGCTTTTATTTTTTTACGTCTCTGGTTCGTATGTTACTGAATGTTTGAGTTCGTTCTGAGTGGGGGGGGTGGCGGGGGTGCGCACAGCTGAGTCAGATTGTAATACAAACGTACAGGAAGTTTAAATTATTTTTTTAATTGGCTTTTTGACCTTTTAACTGAATGCGTCTGCACTTAAAGGGCAACTTGGTGAAAGTCTTAATGTAGTTTGTGCAGACGCTCGTGCATTTGTTCCATATCGTCATTTCAAGCATTCCCAGAGTCCTCCTGTGGATGGCCTTTTCCCTTTTTTTTTTTTTTTTTGTATTTATTTTTTGTTTGTTTTGCCAACGTTGATGTGAGTCGCAGGTGTGATTGCGAATTAGGATGACTACTTTTGACTCGTGCTGACAAACCAAAGCCAACTGTTCAACTTCATGCCTGTGAAAAGAATCTGTGATCATTATTTCATCTTTTTAAATGCTGAGATGTGTGTGTTTGTGCCAGACTACCTCTTTTTAATCCCAGGCACTGAAATGTTTTAGTAATTTGCTTAAAAACTCAGAATGGATTCGTTTTTTTTCAACTGCTGGTTTTTGCACACGTGGTGATCATTTTCACGTTTTTTATTTTTTTATTTTTAGGCTCTGGACAACACATTACCCCAACGTCAGAAATATCAACATTACACATTTTTGTCAAGCAAATGTAACAACAAATCATTTCATGCCTGCTATTTTATCAAACTGGTTTATTTCTTATCACCTGACGTGAAAACTGAGCAGTGTCTGATGCAGTTTCTCCTGGTCATTTTTGAATGAATAAAAATGAGTTTGGGATGTGGATGTTAGAAGAAAATACTCATTAAAGGTCTCTTTTGTCACTAAATTACGTTTTTAAATGTGTCTACTGGAGTTTTTTAAGTGATTATTGTGAAAATTTCTGATCTGCGTCTGAAGAGTGAACGATAAATCGTAATCTCACCTCACGAATCGGCTCTAAAAATATATCGTAATGATAAATTATACAAAAAGATGAAACCCTATTAGTCCATCCAATTTATTTACACTTTATTTTCCAGAGCAGCTGGTGTCCATCTCCAGCTGTCACTATCCAGGAGGTATACCTTGGACAAGTGGCATGTTCACCGAGACATGACCATTCTTACATTTTGGGAGAATATAGAGTAACCAAGCCAAATGGTTGAATTAAATTAGTTCATGCTCAATAATCCAGGTTAAAAAAAATCTAACAAAAGGTCAGGTCATCTGAACGATTTCTTTTTTTGTCGAGATGTTTTGTCCATCAGTGAAAGATGAGATGGTTTCTGGATCTTATTGCCATCAAACTGGTTGGCCCACTGAGCGTGCTACTTATAAGACTGAGTTTGTTGCGGCTCCTCGGACTGATGAAGTCTTTTTGATGAAACGTTTCAACACAAGTAAACTGTCCAGAGGACCTGACTTAACTTTGTTGGACTTTTTACCTGGATTATTGAGCATGAACTTCAATGTAAAAACAAAAACTTTTCCACGTGCAGTTTTAACTCCAGCCCTGTAGATGGCGGTGTAAGCTGCCATGGTACTTTCTGCTGCGTTCAACAAAATCAGACCAAATTAAATAATTTACCCATTTGTGCTTTTTTTAGATAAGTTTGGTTAAATTAAATATATTATTCAAAATAAAACTGTAAACTTACAAGTGTAGTATACGCAGTTGGTGTTTTCTAGCATTTTTATGTTAAGGAAAAGAAATGTTGAGATATCTATACATTATCCACAACAATGTCCGGCGTTAATATTGTATTTGTTTAACTGAACTGCCTGTGAGAAATTTGTATTTTATCAGAAAGTCTATAGGTGTCTTTGTATAACGTCAGAAAAGTTTAAAACTCCTTTCAACGCCGTCTTGACTCCAGTTCTCTTATTTACAGTTTAGAATAAATGTTTTTAACGCGCCACTCCAAAATGAGAGTATTTGAACGCATGCGCAGTGCTCAGCGAATGGACTAGCAAGTTAGCGAGTAAAAAAAAAAAAAAAAAGACGTGGCAGACATGGAGGTAGCTGCTCTGGTTGCCTTGACTTTATTACTGGGTGCACTGGTTATTCTGGTCGCGTTAGCGGTGGGAAGACGGAAAGAGGAGAAAAATGCAACAACAGAGCAACAAGCTGCGGACAGTTCAGGTAAGAGAGCAGTTTAGCTCATTCACCCGCTGCGGTGAATGACAGTGTCGAGGGTGAGCCGAGTCGCTGACGTATGAGTCCATTGAATGAACGCCGTCATTCATTCATTAATATATTCACTGTGAAAAAGAGAGCCCTAGTGTCCACATTATTCACGCTTCACTCATACAAACTAAATAAAAACTAACTGAATTAACTTTTTACTTGCTGTCACCTGCCACTGGCCAACCGTAAAATGTAACGTTCAGGGACCAATGGGATCAAAGACGACTCGAGTTCAAATGTTGGACACGCCGTAAAATCATTGGAATGCTTGTAAACTTCTTGATCACAGCTCGCTTTCCTACAGATTAGAGTGAGCTACAACTGGTACTGGTTACAGAATCACCACTGATGGGGACTGATAATAACTAATAGTTTCAATAATGTATCAATTACTGCAACAAATGAAAACAAACTCTGTAAAGTGTTTTCCCATGACCTGCTTTAAACCAGGGGTGCCTCCAGATGTTTTTCAAAGAGGTGGTCAGAAGGGGGTGGTGCATCAAAACAAAAGCCACTACAGAATTTCAGTTTTTTTTGTATGTCATAAATAAATTTAAAAAAAAATACTGCTCACTAGAATTTGCTGAGTTGTTTTGGTAATTCAGGATTAAAGCTGTTGGGTTGGTTGGACCAAAGTTGGATCAAAAACTTTGTCACTGGAGATGAGCCACGTCGTTCTACAGCCTGCCATGTTAAGACAAATTAAACCTGACTGACTTTAGGGTGTAATGAGACTGTAAAAGCAACTAGTAAGATGTCCAATGTAGTTGGCTTTTTAACCACTTTAGCTTGCACAATACCAGTGGTGTCCAATCCTGGTCCTGGTGGGCCTCTGTCCTGCATGAAACAACTAAAACCTGCGGGATAGTGGCTTACCAATTCAATTCAGTTTATTTATATAGCGCCAATTCACAACAGATGTCGCCTCAGTGCTGCACAGAAACATTCACACACACAAAAATCAGTTAATAACAATATTTATCTAAGGAGCCAGCAGATTGCTTTGAGTTTTCACTTCGTCACAGTCTCCCATCCTAAGCGAGTAACCAGGATCAAGATCAGACACCTCTGCACAAAATAGTGAGTTTGTGTACTAAAATAACATTGGTTGGTGCTAGCTAACTGATACTAACGTTTTTTTTTCATTGTCCAGTCTCTCTATCACTCATTTAGACTAGTCTGCTCTACACACAGTCTCTGGTTTTCCGTATAACTTGAGTGCCACCTTAATGCATGCACGACTGTTCATCACTTCTGTCCGAGGCAAACACAACTTACTCAGCATTGTGCAAATACGTGCAACAAAGCTGCAAAACACTCACAGTTCCATGCCACTGTTTCTAAAGATGCTGTGGTCGAGTCAAAATAAAAACCAGTTCTGCGTTTGTGAGGTTTTATATATGCTGGGCTTGATTCTTCTGTCCAACCAATGGCCTGCAGTCTGCTGACGTCAAATCTTCAGCTTGACTCGCTTGGAGTCTCGGCCAAGCAGGTCCTAAGAACCGAACTGGAAGCTGTCTGGACCACCCAGTGGAAGCTGGCTCTGAAGCCGGGCCGAGTCAAGCCCTTCGAAAACAACCATGATAGCTATTAATGCCAGCTAGCAAACACCAACCCAAGATTTGATTACGGTGTTAATAATCCAGATTGTGGATTTAAGATAAACTTTTTTAGTTCAACAAATCTGTCATTTTAAACCATGTCTGGGTAGAAACGTAAACCCAGTAGGCTGCGTCAAACTGATAATCCAACCCTGCTGAGTTGAAACGACCCAGGGATGGTCTGCGTCTAAATCTCACCCAGTTTTTAACACATAACTTTTAATGTGTTAGGGACAAGCTCTTTGATAATTGACGGGGGTGCACCGATAAATCAGCCGGCCGATTTATCGATGCACCCCTATTTCCTTAATTTTGTGAGATCAGCCAAAATTTACACGAGATACTGATTTTACCGATGTTTTAACAATTGTCTAAACTTTATTTATATTTCAGAGCTCTGGACAGTTAAAATAAGTTTGTATTGTTTCTAGGATATTATGTTTTTCAATAAAATAATATTGGAAAATTGAAGGTGCATTGTGACCTTATAACACCTGACAGTGTCGCTTATTAAACAAAATCGGTATCGGCCAGAAAACTGCAATCTGTGCACCCGTATAAAATAGACTACTTCTGTTTATTAGCTGATAGTGCTGTGAACAGCAGTCTATTCTCATCGAAGCTTGTCTTCTCCCCTCTTATCTTTATTTAAATAAATAATAAAAATGTTTTTAACTACTAAATGTTCACAACAATGTTTTTATATTATGTTTATGAAGTTCGACTAATCTCAGTTAGCTGCGCTAATTAAAATGCGCACATCAAACAAAAGCTTGAGGTGCGATTTATATTTTTGCAATGAATATAAAACAAAATATGAAAACAAGGAGAACTTAAAAAATATAGTCATGAGTAAATACTTGTGAATTTTGAGGTTTGACAAGGTCCTGAAAGACGCGAGTTCATTTTACGCCTTAGATTTTTACGTAACGTACAGATGGTGTTTGTTAGTCACTAAAATCATCAGTTTTTTCTTGTTTCAGCTGAATCCAGTTCTGTGAAGGGCCCCACGTCCAAGAAGCCGAAGCAGGAGAAGCAGCGGAGTCGCAAAGATAAACCTGTGCAGCACAGTTTCAGCCATCCTCTGCTGGCAGCCTCCCTGAAGGTAAACTGGAAACACCGTCGACGTCTGTTTTTGTTTTAAAACGTTTTGTTTTTCATCCAAGGAGCTTTTACAGTTGAAATTAAGAAAACTGAGTTTCATCTTTTTAAACGTCAAAACTTGTATGCTATAAACGGACATGTTTTTAGATCTTAACACCTGAGAGAATTAAGAGAACGCAGGCTTTACTTAACAAGTTCTTTCACACGGGTTGAAACAAATGACATGAACAGAACTTCATAATTATTTTTTTTTAAGTGTGTTAATTAATCCATACCAGAAACATCAGCCGAAGAAACTAACATCGGGTTGAACAATTTCCAAAACGCTTACCAGAAGGCGTTCATTTTTGACTAAAATCAGAGCTTTAGTGAGTGGGTTTATAAAAAAATTTAAATTTGATTATGATCTCGCATTAACATCACATTAAAGTCTCCTATTACAATTTCAAAAAAAAAAGTAAAATATATCACAGATTTATGTAAAACGAGCAATAACATCACTCTAATCCAGACATGGGCAACATATGGCTCGTGGGCCAGAGACGGCCCTTTGACAATCTCCACCCGGCCTCCACTTATCCTTAATTGAAAAGAAAACAACTTTTAAACAGGTTGATGAAAACCTACATTCTGTCAATGAAACTTAAGGAAGTCTAAATTCAACATCTTGGACAAATGCATCAAAAACCTTTCATATTCCTAAAGATTATTGGGGAGACACATTTTTGTCAAGCACGCTAATTATGCTACATGATAAAAACATTATTCTCCATCCATTATCTTCCGCTCGTTCCGGAGTCGTGTCGCGGGAGCAGCAGCTAATTAACGGCTTCTTTATAGATAAACCTGCACGAGTAACGTACACCAATAAAATGATGTCGTCTTCTTCAAGCACCCCCATTTTTATCTTTCACCATCTGAATTAAAACAAATTAAAACAATCCTTTTTTTTATTGTCTTGCTTAAAATAATAAGAAATCTTAAATAAAGGACAAAAATGTTTTAATTTAAATGAAAGTGGAATTTATCATCATCAACCCATAGTTAAAATAAAGTGGTGGTGGACACTGCAGGCACAAATATATTCTACATAAATAATAAAACTTTTTTTTTTTTTTTTTTTTTTTTTAGAAGAACCAATGTAATTACAGCTTTTATTAGTTCAGTATAATTCTTCTGGATAATTTCCACACTTCCTCCAGGGTCAGTTCTCGTCATGCGAGTGTGTTCTTGTGCTCTTCAGGGCCACAGTGGGAACGTGACGTGTCTTGATTTCAGCAGCAACGGGAAGTACCTGGCGTCGTGCGCGGACGATCGCACCGTTCGGATTTGGAGCACCAAAGACTTCCTGGAGCGGGAGCACAAGTATCTGAGAGCCAACGTGGAGCTGGATCACGCCACGCTGGTCCGCTTCAGCCCAGACTCCAGGTCTCGCTCTCGTTCACTAAACTTTATTTACACTCGGTGTAAGACGACCCTCGTCCATCTTTAAATTAACCCCAAACACAGGAGCAAACTGTAAAATACGCCTGCGTTGTATCTGAAATCCTTAAACCAGGTCCTTCGAACGGAACAAGAAAAAAGTTAAACATGGCAGTTTACTTTGTTGTTTTCCATTTTTTGTTTTTAGTACTTAAATAGTCGGCCGTCGTATTTTTAGCAGCAATGATTTCTGAAACTAGAAGTGTATTTTTATGATAAAAACTTAACTAAGCCTTTATAAATAACAGAGCAGGAGCAAAAATAATAGTAAAATCTTACTTTTTTTTTATTCTAAAAAACTCGTTTTACGTTGTCAGCTGTGTTTATGGTCCGATAACTGAATTATTAATGGAGGGCCGTTATTTTTATAGACGTATTGATTCTTCTGTAAAGAAGACGTACTTATGCACGCCAGCTTTGTATTTACTGCTCTTCTGTAGCGTCCTGTTTAATACTAATGGAGTTACAAGCTTCTTTAATGCCTTTTCATTGGATAGTCCTCCATAGAACCACAGACTGATTTGAAGGGTGACCAGTGGACGAATATTAAACATGAATATGTAGTGAGTCACGTGGGTACGCGTCACTAGTTGTAGTATGACAATATATGAGATATATGCATACAATATTCACGAGTTCCTCATCTTTCTGACTGTGTAATGTCGTGCATTGAATTTTAACAGAAATGCGAACGAGAGACGTTATTATCTTTGACCCATCAAATGAATGTGGTCATTTATTTTCAGAATCAAAGTTTAACATCAAACATTTACATTAATTTGGCAAAATATGAAAATAATAACAGACAAGTTTCACAGAAAATGAGCATCGATCACTCGGCGGTGAACGAGGACTTTGCTTCAGATATTTCTAAAATATCTGTACTGGTTTTGTGAGAGAGAGAAGAGTTTAAGATGAAATGGAGATTTATCTTACAGAGAACTATGTGAGGGAATTAATATCTGTAGACCAGAACGTGCACGCTTCATCAGATCTCAGCTCGCCTCCGGTACACTTTAGTCGAAGAAGAGACCGTTACCTGGTTGATGATAGATCAGCTCGATAGAGAATCCTCCAGACCTTTCAGCGTCTCCGTTGAGAGCTGCTGAAATCCTTAGATAGTCGTGCGTGGGTTGTTCAAACAGAAGTTATAATTCCAAACGTCTCTGACTCTCCTGAATTCTCGAATTCTCTTCCATTCACTTCACCATTCTCCATGAATTCTCCATGAATTCTAACAAATTCTAACCTGAACTGGGAAGTTGCCACATTTTAAATGGGTCGACTTCCGGTTCAATTTAGAGCTTTCTGATTCGTGGATGTACCAGAAAGAGGTGTGTTTTTTGACGTAAGGTATTATCAAAAGTCGAGGTCAGGGAATGAATTTGTTTTCAACATACAGAAAAGATTATTGCAGAATACCAGACTTTTTGGAGCCTCACTCTGTTGTATCTTTCCAAATAGTAAAACATGACATCCCATTTTCAGTAAACATTTAGTTGACCGAAGCTTCAACTTTCACATACTTACGACAGCTTGCTCATTGAAGACAGACAATCAAGAAATGCATATTAACCTGATTTCTTCTTTGAATGAGGAATAAAAATCATTACTTACTGTTTATGTAAAATAAAATGAGTAGTTCTTTTTCAACCTGTAAGCATTGAATGGAACTAACACAATTTGATTATCAAACATTTGTAAAACAGTAATGATTATAGAGGATTGTCTTTTCTGCTTGATTAATTCAAGAAAGAAAGTCATCAGATGGCTCAGACTTATTCAGATCAATGAAAATAACAGTCTCTGTCCATCTGGTAGATTTGAGGTCATCAGGGTCAGATGAGGGTCAGATCATCAGGTCATCTGGTTCACTACAGTCCCCCCTTTGGAAATCATCACCTGTCCATGGGGATGAATTCCAACCGTGAACTTAGACCTTCAAATGTCCTTGAGCTTGATGTAATCCAGCAAGGAAGACCAAAGTCAGAAGTAATCCAGCAAGGAAGACCAAAGTCAGAAGTAATCCAGCAAGGAAACAAAGTCAAGGTAATTCCACAATGTTCTTGGTATTCCATTGTGTTGATTATAATCCCATATCGTCTCGATAATTCCATTGTAGCAATGCTTTAACCCCTTGGAAACAGAGTCTGTAATCCATTGGAAAAAGTCATATAATCCACAACGGTAAATCCACAGCGATTGGAAGTGTTGATTAATCAGCATACAGAGGGGTACCCTTGGATTGAACTGAAGAAGCGGCCACTGGATGAAGAGTGGAGACCAACGTCAGGATTGCAGGTCGCCTCCAGCGAAGGTTGTCTCCAGCGACGTCCAGCCTGTGCCGTTCTGGTTCAATGTGTCATGCAATTATGTGGTTTAAGGTGGGCTTATGAAGGGGATTTTACATAAGGCCTTAAACTATATGCATCTGGTGTGTAAGCTATTATGGTTGGGAACAGCTACAACTACCAGTTAAGGGGTAGAGAATGCTGAAAAGGGGTAACTACAGGGGTTTATGCCTATAGAAAAGTGTTCCAAACTATTTTTCCATTTCTAACTTGGTTTAAGTTAGCTTTATATGGTAAAATATAGTTCGGTGTAATTGTCTGTTGTCTTTTAGACGAACGACTTGAGATTGGGTGTTTGGTTTTCCCATAAATGTTTTGGAAGTCTATGGCGAGACTTATCAAAAAGAATTAGCTATCCCCCCGAATAGAATTGTTCGAGTAGGTTCGGCTTAAGCGTTGTGAGATCGATGTAGATTATGGTACTTAAAGTAGCAATAATATACATTGACTCCGCAAAGATTGCAATTTAATGAATGAACTGCATGTTGGCATGGTTAAAGGCCTCTTAGTCTCTAACTTAACTACACAACAAAATTCATTCTTGCCTGGGGTGTTCGAAAACAATACCAAAAACCAATTAAACGATGTCTCAACATCGACAAGAACAGTAACTAAGCAACCAGTAAAACAACGTTTCAACATCGACAAAAGCAGTGATTAAGCAACTAGGAAACAACGTTTCGGTGCGCCACTCACTCTGAATGTCAGATTTGATCATGTTATCGCGTCTGGTAGCATTATCCTAACTGGCGTCACCCCCCTTCGGTCGTGGGAGACTGCGAACACGGGTGAGGACGTCGCTCCATGAGCTAAAGTTAGGCTGTCCTTGAGTAGTTTTAACTGTTTGCGCAGCTGAAAGAGGACTTTTAGGTCTGGATTGGAATCCAGTTTGACTTTCGATGGAGTGTATTTGTCTGGGTCAGTCAGATACAGTATCATCGATTTAATTGCAGGACCATCCAACTTCTGAAGTTGGATGATGTCTGGGTCAGTTGAAATTGACTTTTCATATTTTAAAAGAACTTGGCGAATGTTGTCTCTTTCTTCATCAGATGTCAGAGTGTCAGCTTGAGCGACCACCTGTTCAATCTGTGATGAGACTGATGAGGGTTCTTGCTCCATGGGGAGCTCCAACGAATCCTTTTCTGAGTCGTCGGACCTGTCTATGGGTAAGGCACCATAGGTTTGAGGTCCTTGGTCGACATCATTGGTTGAGAAAAGAGCGATGGCCTGTGATGGTTTCGTGAAACATACTGGCCCAGCTTCTTGACTCGGTACCAGGTTATCTGGGAGTCCTCCCAGAACTGGGATGCCTAGTTCAAAATCATGAAGGTCAGGTTTTGAGTTTTCAGTTTGCGATGACTCATCATCGTTTGTGTGTGAGTTTATCCCCCCTTCGTCCGATGAGGGGTTGTTGGAGGCAGTAACAGCAATGTCTTGGTGTGTTTCACCGACATCTGTAATGTTGTCATTCGCGCCTTCAGAGTTAGTAGCGATTAGATCACTACATTGTGCTCCTGGTTGGGTTCCCATTTCAGCGTGTATCAAAGTGTCTAAAAACCTTTGCATTTCCTCTGTCTCTTCCGAGCTCAGAGGTTTAGGGCCTTGTTCCTGGAACTTTTGTGATTTTTTCGCCTCGGGACGTTTCGTCCGAGGTGGGAGGCGGCTAGGTACGTCTTTTGGGGGTTCCTCTTCGGATTTCCCTTGATAATATGGGTCCTCTTGGATCCCATATTCTTGCGTCCTGCGCATGTCCCATGTACGATAATCACGTTCATCCTCTGAAAGAGGAGCCTTTTTGTTCCAGCGCGCACCTTCATTATGCGGTTTGTTAGTCTGAAAATACTGCCTTTTCTCGCCTGTTTTAGGAGGAGGTGGCGCGCACCTTCCTTCCATTTCTAGGGAGTGGGGTTTAACCTTTATACCGGGAAACACCTCTATGGGCGTCTTAGCATGAGAACGTGCCTCAAAGACATTCACTGCACACTGTTTAATCTCATTTATGGATTTTTCTCTGAAATTTGCCATAATTCGTACTGACATGCGTATGTCAGTGTGGAGATTTTTGCTGAAAACAAATTTAAAATTTTCTTCTTCCTCCATTCCGGTTTCATTTCTGTAACCAAAATAAGCTTGGAAGATTCTTTTGTAATAAACTCTTGGATGTTCATCTTTACCCTGCGTGACCTTGTCTGCGGCTGGGAAACCAGCAGGTCCTGTGCAGGGGTCGTACTCTTTGATCAGAGCTTCACACAGAAGTTTGTAATCCTTACTCGTTGCATCAGGTAGACGCTCGATGAAGGTAAACACCTCTCTGTCCGAAGTGAGTCGTATCAGACTGATCTTATCCTCTACCGTAGCGTTAGGATAAGATCTCAATCTGAAATCCAGTTCTCTGAGGTACGCTTTTGTTCCAGATGAGCTTTTTTGTCCAGGTACAAAACATTGTACATATTTTGAGATTTTTTGCAAATCATCCATTGAAGGAGACAGTTTCCATGCACTCTGTTGCATGTTTTGTGGAGGAGACCTGTTCAGGTCTGTTCCTGCCACGTTATGTGAGGGTGGGTTAAGAGCAGGAAGTGCAACAACGTCTTTCTGAGGTGTATGTGAGTGGCCTGGACTCTGTCCACGGTCTTCAACTCGCCCCACGTCAGAAATCTTGTTTGTTGCCGCTCGTAGTTTTTCTTCACATGTTTTTAAGCGTTCCTGTGATGTATGATAATCACTTTCTAAACGCATCTTTAGCTCTTGCAATATGTGTTTATCCATTCTGAGTTCTTCCAGCTTTTTGTTAAACAAATCTATTTTGCTATTCAGCGAATCAATTTCTGCATTTGCATTTTGCTGTGATTGAAACATCTGTTCAGAATGTTTTCTTGTGAGGATTTCGTGTTCACTTTTAAATTGAAGGAAGTGTTCTTCAATTCTCTGAACCACCTCTTTTTCACTGTTTAACCTTATTGCAAGGTAATCAGCTTTCTCAACAACCATATAGAATGATTCTTTCAGCAAAATTGCAATTTTAGCCAGCTTTTCGTAGTTTGGCATTGTAATTTCTGTAGAGGTCACACTTTCTGCAACTTCCTTCAGATTGTCCACTAACTCTTTTGGGTTCATGCGCTCTGCCTGTTTATCATATGGATGTACGGACGTTGTCAGAAGCGCGAACGCATTCTCCAAGCAGTCCGCCATTCCTTTTGGATCAAAATCTTTTTCTAACACACCTGTTAGAAATATTTTAGAAATATCTGAAGCAAAGTCCTCGTTCACCGCCGAGTGATCGATGCTCATTTTCTGTGAAACTTGTCTGTTATTATTTTCATATTTTGCCAAATTAATGTAAATGTTTGATGTTAAACTTTGATTCTGAAAATAAATGACCACATTCATTTGATGGGTCAAAGATAATAACGTCTCTCGTTCGCATTTCTGTTAAAATTCAATGCACGACATTACACAGTCAGAAAGATGAGGAACTCGTGAATATTGTATGCATATATCTCATATATTGTCATACTACAACTAGTGACACGTACCCACGTGACTCACTACAAATATACCAATAATGAAAATACACACGGCTGTTGCCCGTCTGTGATGATATGTAAGAACAAAGTTGTCCTAGCTGTTATTTAAACCCATCACCACCTCCTCTGACTCGTTGCGTCTCACCTGCAGGGCGTTTATCACCTGGCTGGCCAACGGAGATACGATACGCATCTTTAAAATGATCAAGAAGGATGACGGCACTCTCAGCTTCAAGGCTGCTGCCGAGGATTTCCCACCGAAACACAAGGCCCCGATACTCAACATCGGCATCGCAGAGACCGGTACAGAACGCACGCTAGTTACATCTTAGTTACATGCTAACATTTGTTTAGTTTTTCTTTTTTGGTATGGATGTTGTCTGCTTGTAGGAAGTTTCATCAGTTTAACCACAATACTCTGAATAAAACTGTCCAGAATTTAAAATGTGTGAATCGTTTATCTAATGGTGTGAACACTTATGAAGCATTCACACTATTGTGATCCATTTTTCTTCCGTAGATTTTTCGGCACGATTCTCATTCCACAGTTTTTGTGCTTTTTCAACAAATCATTTCAAAACGTTCAACTCGTTCAGGAGAAGGGTGCTATGACTTATGGTATTGATGCAACTTTAGCTTTTTGACATATTTAGCCTTTTCTGCAATTTTTTTTCTCATAGAAAATGAACTGAGCTCATTTTACATCCTTCAGATCTTTAGATCTGTTTACAACCTTTCACTGCTCCTTAAATATTTTGTTCTGGTTCAGTTTCTTTCAGCTTCCTTGTGCAAACTTAAAAGCTTTTCAGCTACTTTCAGCTACTTTCAGCTGGGGTTTTTTCAGCTGTTTTGTGTTTTTCTGCTTTATTCTACTAACTACAACATTTTTGTGCTGCTTCTAACTTATTTCTGCAAATTTCAGCTTGTTATGCTCTTTTCAGCTTATTTCTGCAAGTTTCAGCTTTTTCTGCTATTTCAGCTGCTATTTAACTGTTTAGCTTTTTCAGCTAAAATATTTTGCACTCATTTCAACTTTTTCAGCCTAATTCAGAAAAAAAGTGCTCTCTCCACTTCCTTCTCTTAATTAATTTTTTTTCTGCCTTTAGCTACCTTTCAACAGTTTTTTTGTTGTTGTTGTTGCTAATTTCAGCTTTTTTCAGATAATTTCCACTTTTTTGTGCTCATTTCTGCTTCTTTCAGCCTAATTGGGCAAACATATTCTTTCTGCTTTTTTTCTGCTAATTTAAGCTTGTTCTACATTTTTAGCTACCTTTTTAGCAATTTTAGCTAATTTCAGCTATTTTCAGATAAATTCAAGTCTTCATGTTAATTTCTGCTACTTTCAAACTAATTTGCTTCTTTCTGCTGATTTCAGTTGTTTCTGCTATTTTCAGCCTTTTCTCACATTTCAGTTGCTATTTAGTTGTTTTGTGCAAAGTTAAGAACTTATTTCAACTCTTTCCACTTCCTTCTAGTAGGTTAAGCTTCTGTCTGCTTTTTCAGCTACTTTTCAGCTGTTTTTGGCTAATTTAAGATTTTTTTAACTGATTTCTTTTTTCCCCTCATTTCTGCTTATTTGAGCATAATTCAGTAATTATTTTTTTCTTTCTTTCTTCTGCTAATTTAGGCTTGTTCTTCAATTTTCAGCTACATTTCAGAATGTATTTTAGCTCATTTCAGCTGTTTTTCAGCAAATTCTTCAACGATAAGCATTCACACTGCATTTTTACAGGAAATGCCATTTCTCTAGTTAAATCTATATTTGAGTGTCTTTACGAGGTCACAGTTAGTTTGTGAGACTCGTATGTAAAGGACTATATAAATCTGTTTTCTCATGTTATAAATACTGATTCACTTTCTTCTTTGCAGGCAAATTCATAATGAGCGCCTCCGCAGACACCACCATCCTCGTGTGGGACCTGAAAGGAGAGCTGCTGGCCTCCATCAACACCAACCAGATGACCAATTCTTATGCAGCCGTCTCCCCTTGTGGCAGGTCTGACTCACCCACCCATTAGACTTTACACCTGAAAGCTTTAATGGGCATTTAAATACATTTCGTGGTGCTTTATGGGGTTGGTTTTCCTCCGTCAAAGGTTTAGTTTTGTCATTTCATAATTTGGAATAGTTTTTTTTTTACACAGAAATATTCAGATTTTTCTATAAAATGATGAACTTCTTTTTTTCTCCAGATGTTTTAAAATGTAAGCAGATGCTGTAAAGACACTTGATAAGATGAGATTTATTATTTTGTTAACCTTTAGTCAACAGATGCTCTTTGACATGCGTCTCGTCTGTTCTCCATGATTCGTGGGTGTTCAGTCCTACATAAGTTTAGATTTTTATACAAGGACCTGAAGAACAAAGTCGCCAGTTTGACAAACTTTGTAGGAGCTTTTGCACGTAGGGCTGTGGGGGAGATGCTGTTTTAATAAGATGTGATCAAATGTCATTTAGCTACAGGTTCCTTAAGTTTAAATATTCTTTTGATTAAAAATGTGGTGCAAATATAGCGTAAAGTATTAGTTTGGATCACCTGTTGGAACTAAAATACAACTAAAATCATTTGTAACTAATCTGAAAAATCTTCTTCTTTCAGTTTTTGATGGTTGGATCTTGCCACAGTAAAATACAGCAGCACCTCTGAACCCGACCACATCACTGGGTTTTAATTAATAAATGTGATTTCTGATCAAACTTCAAACACCTTAGATTGCAGACTTTAGATACTTTACATCACAGTCTGTGTATCACATTTCCAGGGTTTTATTCTTACCACAAGTGTGTGACTGTCTGTGCTCAGATTCGTAGCATCCTGTGGTTTCACTCCAGATGTGAAAGTTTGGGAGGTTTGTTTCGGAAAAGGAGGCGAATTCAGAGAAGTCGCTCGAGCGTTTGACCTGAAGGGCCACTCTGCCGGAGTTCACGCATTCGCTTTTTCCAACGACTCTCACAAGTAAGAAAACTTTTTCTGTTTGCACTGCAGAGCCTCTGTGGGACGGAGCACAAAAGCTTTAAACGATATTACTGTTTCCAAATGCTCGTGTTTGTTTTTTTTCTTGAGACTTGGCAGCTTTTTTTTTTTCTCTTTGTGACACGGAAAATGAAAACAGTAAAAGTTGCGTGACTGTGTTTGTGGTTCAGAAATCCACTTTGGTGTCAAATATCTGTTGTTTTACTAAAAGTTACTGTTAGAAAGGTTCCTCAGAAATGATCACTCAGGAGTCCAGGATTGAAGTTTAACAAAATGTAATGTAGAGAACCGAGCTGAAGAGGGATTTCCAGCCGGCAGACACTCATCGATGTTTTGATGTGTCTAACTGAAGAGGATGCAACAGGTTAAACGGTTAAATGTGAAGGAAAGTAAACACAAAATATTGTGATGGTGCAAAGTTTACCCCAGCAGAAAGACACTCTGACATATACTGTATATTCCGGCCTGTAAGTCAGTTTTTTTGCATAATTTGCATGCCCTGCGACTTATACACCAAAGCAACTTATTTTTTTTCCCCATATTTATAAATTTTTGTATTGAACGCTTTTTGAATTCATATTTATAAACCAATTTTTGGCTGAGATGTGACTGTTTTCATTCATTCTGATATGGAAAATATACCAATAAAGTCCATGCTCAACATGAACACTACCATTTTCAGCCGCTAGATGGCACTCGATTAGTATGGCATGCCATTTTGTCACGTAATAGGTAAAAGTGGCTATTAATGATACAATCGGTTTGCCACAGACTTCCACCTTCTTCCAGCTCTGGGATCATGCCTGGAGCAACCGTCAAATCAGATTCATTTCGCTGCACCACCCCGGCAAAATGCAGCTACTTTGACCATTAAAGTGCATTTATTAAGTAAAATTTAAACTGAGACACACCTTTGCTATATTATCGAGCAAACAAATAATTGTTTTTAAGTGTTAATCTTGTTAAATTCTTGTTAAATCCTCCCGTGCATGACCTCGCGGCCCCCTTTTTTTGCAGCCAATCGATTTTTAGCACAAAAATTTGGCATTTTGCTTTTACTCCCTGACATTTAACGCATTTTTTCTCATTATATTTCATGTTTTTATGCTTTTATTCATGTTGCTGTAATATGTTGTTATTAATATTTGATGCTGTGGTCTTTTTTGGTAAGCACTTTGATAACATTTACTGTTTTAAATGTGTTATATAAATAAATATGACTTGACTTGACACCAGCCCACATTTCTGCGTTGTCAGCGGTGACGCGTAATAGATGCAACTTATACGGCGAAGCGACGTATTTGTTTTTTTTTCCACTTTATTAGACATATTTTTTAATATTAGAGTTTTTAATATTAGAGTTTTTCTTCTCAGCCAAGGAGAAAGAGTTTAATAGGAATTTTATTTGCCTCCCAATTCCTACATGTCCAGTTTTAACTAGTTTTTGTCTGTCTAAACAGATCTCACTTGTAAATGAGTCTTCTAGGCTCAATGTGATTATCTGTCTAAATAAAGGTTGAATGAAATATTTGGACTGATGTGACTTATAAGGCGGTGCGACTTGTACGGCGGAAAATACAATAATCGTTTTTTTTTTTTATCAGTATCCTCAAGTTGAAACCTAAAGGTTTAGATAAGACTTCATCACATAAAGCCATTCTAAACCAGAAATTGTTTTTTTTAATCTTCCTCAAATAAATTGGAGAAAAAGAAAGAAAACATTTTAAGTGTAACTGTTTTTTTTTTTTTTTCCACTGATCAGAATGGTGACCGTCTCTAAAGACGGGACGTGGAAGCTGTGGAACACGAACGTGGAGTACAAAAAGCAGCAGGACCCTTACCTCCTGATGACCGTGCCCTGCTCCTCTTCTGAACGCAGCCGGGCGGCTTTATCCCCCGACGGTCGCGTTGTGGCCATCAGCGACGGCTGCAACGTGGCGCTCTACGACACCACCAGCGGGAAGCTGGAGGAGGAGCTGCTCGGCGTCCACAGCGAAGAAATCACCGACCTTAGATTTGACATCAACGGCCGCTTTTTGGCGTGCAGTGGCGACAAGGCGATCCGAGTGTTTCACAACGCGCCGGGCTACCGGGCCGCCATCAGAGACATGCGGGACATGCTGAAAAAGGCCCAGAACGAAGCCATGAAGCAGAGACTGCAGCAGCAGATCAAAGAAGCTCAGAGCGCCCTGGACACTGTGCTCGCTCCTCCCAGAGAGTGAAAACAACACAAAATGTGATGTGATGGTGTCTTATTTATTGAGACTGCTCATGTCAACATCTGCTCTCCTTTTTATGCACAACAATCTGTCCAAGAAATCATGGATTTGCATGGAGTTTTAATAAAGAATCTCTTTTTATGGAAACATCAAATGCTGCCTCGCTGCCTTGTCCCAAATGGAGGAGTTATTTGTTGTAAACAAATAAAAAAGGGCGTGCCAGCCGTTGACAGAATGCCTTTTCTTGCATTCTAATGCTCGAGAGCTTAAATTAATTTGAAATTAAAATAATTTCATTTGGAAGTGTTAATATAGAAAGAAAATGCCATCTACTGTTTCCCTGGCTACACCCCCAATATGCAAGTTAGTAAGATTTTTATATTTAAATTGACTTTACAAGTTTATAGATTATTATTTTTTAAGACTCTGACCCCTCAAGATAAAAAAAATGCTTAGGTGCAAACAAAAAGATATGTGCAAGAGGAAAAGTTTATGTTTTCAGACTTTTAGTTGGGACTTGGGATGCTTTAGGTTTTCTTAAGCTAAAAAGATTTTTTGTAAATCACACAATTACTTGCAATTACAAAACGGAACAAGTTTAGATTAAAAGTGGAGATTTAGTTCAGTGTGCTTCAGAATGTAATGTATTCAGGGAAGGAAGTTTTTGCATTGAATGCAAAATTTTATTTTTAATAAAAAAAATTGCTTTTTAACCTTTTAGTGGTCAGTGATCTCCCAAATATTCAAATATATAAATATAACAGACATCTCAGCACATAAGGGGTAACAATTTTAATAACTACAGAACAAAACAAATGATTGGCCGTAGAAACTGTTATTCAGTTAAAAAATAAACATCCTGGGACAGAATCCTAAAAGTAAAATCCATTGGGATGCAGTTGGACTGTAAAATACATTATTTACAAAGTCTCTTTTACTATTAATAATATGAACCTACAGTTTAAAAACAAAAATACCAAATGCTATATTTTTTCTTAGTGGTAGTAGTATTAACGCCGATAGTATTATTTTAAATGTCTCGAACTCAAATTGTTTACAAACATTTCAGCAAAAAACTCAATAATGTATTATTTTGTCTTTTTTTTTTAATTATTAAAATAGGGTCTGCATCATATAGTCGCCGGCGCACGTACCGGCGGGCTGAACAGGCGGGATATTCGCCGCACGTGATCACTTCAAGCCGGATCAAATGCCGGTGCACAAACAAGGAGTAAAGCCATTGCCAATTGACCCGGAAGTAGATCGCATTAGCTAACACACGTTTTCCTCGTGCTGTAGCAGCATGTTGCTGATCGGCGGTGGGTCTCAGTGATGTCTGTGGAGATGGTGGAGCTCTCGGTGAGATCTGCGGAGCCGCTCCGGCCCGCCGGGACCCTGCAACAGAGCCGCGTTTTCCTGGACTTCTTCTGGGACTTGGCTAAACCGGACCAGGAGGTCCGGCTAAAGGCGGTGGAAAACCTGATCCTGTACCTGAAAAGCGAAAACAAGGTGAGACACAACCTGGTGACTCTGGACCCAGCATGGTCCTCTCTGACTAAAGTGTTTGTAGTAATAGTTTTAGTATTAATGGGGATAATAATAGTGTTAATATTAGTATTTTTAAGATTAGTAAGTAGTGTAGTAGTTTTAACTTAGTAAAGTTTTTTTTTAATTGAAAAAAGTTGCAATTTTTCACTCCCAATATATGCGTCAGCATGTAAGGTCAAAGGTCAAAGCAGAAAAACTGATGTTTTGCAGTCAGGTTAAAAAATTCAAACGAGGACAAAACTAAACATATAAAGAATAAACTGAAAAACAGTCAGTAAACAAAACATTACATGTTATAAACAGTATTAACCAGGTTTTTGAAAGGTAATTCTATGCGTACACAGGAAGTAAAGTACTGTGTTGTCATCATTGTATGTTCCCATACAACGACTAAATTAGTTCTCTGCATTTAACCCATCACATGTGAGATACACCCAGGTGGAGCACTGGGCAGCTATGTAAGCCCCCGGGGAGCATTTAGGGATTAGGTGTCTTTCTCAAGAGACACCACGACATGTGGACGAGGCGGGGAGTTGAACCTGCGACTTTCTGGTCCCAAGTCGACTGCCCTACCTCTACACCTTCAGTGACAGAATTCGTGCACAGTCCGTCACTGACCAGGACCGGATCAAGTCCAGGAAGTGACGTGGTCCCGTCAGATTAAAAGGGTGAAACTGAATCTTTTCCTGACCTTCTTCCTTGTCTCTGCTGCAGGCTGATGAGCTGGAGTACACGTTGAAACGGCTGGTGGACGGACTGGCTCACACCCGGGAGGTGGCGAGACCTGGGTTCAGCCTGGCTCTGGGGCAGGTGAGTGGACCCGCCAGCGCGCTGTAACACCTTCTGACCGTGGTTTCACTTCAGGCGGGCGGGCGTGTCGGTCAGTTTGGAGAAATAAATCAAGTTCTTTGTCGTCTGGTCAGGATTTTTACCCCCGAAGGTGTTTTTACTGAAAAGAGAGTTCATAAAGTTGATCTGCAGAATTAAACGAGCTTTCAGCAATTAAACAAATCAAAACAATCCATTTTTCTTTTGTGATATCTAATAATTAAAACAACCAAAGTCCTAAAAATACAAGTTATTGTGTAAAGTCTAGATTAAAGCAGATATCTACAGAATGTAGGGATATCGTTCCTGGTTTGCTTCATTTTTTTATCTCCCGTTTCTTTCCTTTTGGTTAACTACGTTAGCTTTTTACAAAACGAAACGTTAAATGGCAAGCACCAATTACCGGTAATTTGATTCTGACTGCACGCAGCCCAGCACGAGGCTCACGATCACCTGTTCCTAAAATCTAACTCACTGTAGCACTTCAGCACAATTTGTTGAAACATAACGCTGGAAATATTTATTAATTTAAATAAAATGATTCTTTAAAGCCTGTTATATAATATTTGACTTCATAGCTCGTGCTAATAACACATAATTCCAATATATATATATATATATTTTTTATATTCCAGCTATTTTTAGTTTACTTTTGATTTAAAGAGGTTTAAAATGTTTCGACTTATTTGAGAAAAGTTTTGGAGCTTTTCTGTCTGAAGTTGATGTTTTTCTGTCTCAGGTCTTGATTGCGTTTAAAGACGTGTCCCTGCAGAGCACACTCGACAGAATCAGGAACACACACAACCTGCAGGCCGTGAAGAAGGTGAGTTTTAGACTTCTGGACTCCTTTGGGATAAAAAAAAAAAAAAAGTTTTATACCGGTAAATGTTTTCCAACGTCAATCTTCTCTGTTTATTCAGAAACTTGCCAGGAATGCGATGTTTGGGAACCTGTTCGGCGTCCTCGCCGTCCATCAGTCGGGTCGCCTCGTTAAAGTAAGTTCAGCGTCTTCGAGAACCACAGAACGTCACGATTGAGGCGCGGGGTGTTTGAAAAAAAAATTAAAATTTAATAAGACCAAAGACAAAAAGCTCTCACCAGTGTGAAGAAGATTCAGACACCCTGGAGACCGAGTTGGCAGCAGGCAGTGGCGATCCGGTCGATGTGGGCAGTTCGATCTCTGAGCTCCGTCTCGTGTCTCTGCAGGAGCCGCAGGTGGTGTTGGGATGCGTGCAGCTCCTCCAGAGTCTAAGCCAGCACAAGCAGCACCTGAAGGACCTCCCCAATAAAACCATGATGGACATCCTCACCGAGGTGACGACTGCCGCCGAGTCACAGCTTTTAAGTTTCCGCCGATGCAGCCCGCTTTAAACACGCTCGCATGTTTCCTCCTTCAGATCCCAGAGGAGGTGTTTGAGGAGGTCCTACTGGGGGCCCTGCAGACGGACCTGCAGTCAGCCTTTAACACTCCAGAGCAGCTGCAGCTCCTGTTGGTGGCGCTGCAACGCTTCCCGCATACTCTCAAACCCAAGAAACTGAAGAAGTTGCTGGGCTCCTCCACCATCATCAACTCGGACAACATCCCCAAGTAAGAGCGCCGCATTCAGCTCCCATCTTCTTCTTTCGGCTGTTCCCTCTGCAGGGATCGCCACAGCGAGTCATCCTCCTCCTCCAACTGCCTGCATGTCCTCGAACTGCTCCAATATTCTCATTTATTCTCTTCTTTGAATGCTGACGCACTCATCAGAGTTAATGCTGAGTCAGCATTAGCTCTGTTTTCCTGTTTTTATTTATTTCATGTTTTGTTGCAATCTAACTTCTGCATATTTTGTTATTTTGGCCATTCATATATCAAAACGTTCAGCTCAGTCAGGTGATGAGTTCTGTCACTTTTATTTTTGTAACTTTTATATTTTTCATTGTATTTAACTTTATTTACAAATATTTTCCCCATAGAAATTTTTTTTTCAATTCCTTCAGAAGCATTGAAGCATTTTTTTAACGTGTTTTCTCCTACCTGCTCTCCTTTTGTCCTCTGTGCTACTTTGAGCTTTAAGCTGGCCTTTTGCTATTTTAGCCAACATTCTGCTACTTTTAGCTTTTAGCTAACTTTTTGTTGTTGTTAGTTTTTAGCTAGCATGTTGCTTACAAAAGCTTTTAGCTAGTGTTTTGTTACTTTTACCTTTTTGGCTAGCCATTTGCTATTTTTAGCCAACATTCTGCTACTTTTAGCTTTTAGCTAGTCTTTTCATGCATTTAGCAAGCCTTTTGCCGCTTTTATCTCAGGCTTTTGATACTTTGGCTAGCCATTTGCTGCTTTGAGCTTTTAGTGTGCTTTTTGTTAGTTTTTAGCTTCCCATAGCTTTTATCTAGTGTTTTGTTACTTTTAGCGTTCAGTTAGCCCTTTTCTATTTGTAGCTTTTAACTTGCCCTATTTAGCTTTTGATACTTTTAGCTAGTCATTTAATATTTTTAGCTTTTAGCTAGCTTTTTGTTGCTTTTAGTTTTTTAACTAGCAATTTGCTTACTAAAACTTTTGGCTATTGTTTTACTGCTTTTTGCTAGTTTTTTTTTTTTTTTTTTTTTTGCTCCTTTTCTTTTTTAACTAGTCTTTGATGCTTTTAGTAGTTAGCTAGTGTTTTTATTTTTAGGTTTTAGCTAGCTGTTTGCTTTCTAGACTTGTTGGCTGGTGTTCTGCTTATTTTAGCTTTAAGAACTCTGTTTTAGCTTCTTCAGCCAAGTCTTTCGTGCCGAGTGTCTGTAGTTCTCTTCAACCCGCTGGTCGGCGTTCATGAGTTTTTTTTCAGTGTTTTTGCTTCTTTAATCTAAAATGTTCCAAATGTCCATTTTACGTCCGCCCTCTTCGGCTGTTGATGTTGGACCTCTGTGTGAAATCCCTGCTGTGTGTCAGATTAATAGACGTGTTGAAGATGGCGGCCGTCTCTGTGAAGAAGGAGCCGACTCTTCCCGGCGTGGCTCTGGACCTCCTGAAGCTCTCGCTGAAAGAAGACAGCTTCCAGCTCTTCTGGGACAGAGCCATCACAGAGGGCATGTTCCAGGAGGCGTCAGGACCAACCAAGTACGATTTCACACGGAGGGATAAAGGGTCGGGATGCAACAGGAACTGGATGGAGAAACAGAAAATTCACAATCCCAGACCTCGATTGAAGTTCTGTTAGTGTTTCATTTCATTTCATACTGGTTTTAAGTAATGGTTTTTATCCTGCCGTGCGCCCGTCTCCGTGCAGCTACCTGGGCTTCCGTCTGCTGGGCAGCGCCCTGCCTCTGCTGTCGCTACCTCAGCTGAAGGAGGTTTTATCTGGAGAGGTGATGATGCGTTACGGTGATCACGTGGTTTCAGCTCAGGTCAGTATTCTGCTGTCGCTGAACAACGTAAACTACGCTGACGTAGTTTACGTTATGATGTGTAAAACTTTCCTCTTCCTGTTTTTCAGTCAAATCTCTGGATTTTCAGAAACATTTGAAAACTGATTTGACTCTTCTCTCATTACTCGTTAGCGTTCATGCTAATGTTTACCTTTTGTTTGGTTTGTTGTGTTTTTTACAATCTACTTCTGATTACTTTGTGTTATTTTTTGAAATCAGGTCTCTCTTGTAAATGAGTCCTCGAGGCTCAATGGGATTTACCTGTCTAAATAAAGGTTGAATGATTGATTTTAGCCAGTACTTTAAGCTTCTTGCTAGTCGTCCAGTCTTCAGTCTTTTTAGGTTTAGCTATTGTTTTTAAACTTTTTGCTAGCATTTAGCTTTTTCAACCTTTAGTAAGTGTTACGGTACTTTTAGCTTTTTGTTATATTAGGTTTTAGCTAGCCTTTTGCTATTTTTATAATTTAGCTATCATTCTGCTACTTTTATGTTTTAGCTAACAGTTAGCTACTTTTTAGTTTTTTGAAAGCATTTGCTACTTTTGACTTTCAGCTACTATTCTTCTAAATTTAGCTAGTCTTGCCGTACTTCAATCCTTTAGTTAGTGTTTTGGTACTCTTGGCTTAGCTCTTTAAAGTTTTATCTACTGTTTTGCTGTTTTTAGCTTACCTTTAGCTTTCAGCTACCATTCTGCTGTTACCTTTTTGCTTTATGGTGATTCTGGCTGTTTGCAAACATTATCGTACTTTTTGCGTTTAATTATTGTTTTGCTTCTTGTAGAGTTTATGAAACATTTTCTCATTTAAGTTGAACAGTTTTCTACTTTTAGCTCGCCTTTTTTGATTTTTGTTTTAGCCTTCAGCTAGCGTTTTGACACTTTTAGGTTTTAGCTAGTGTTTTGCTACTTTTCACTTTTATCTGTTCAGTTTTAACTTTAATAACTCTTTCAGTTTTCAGTCAGCGTCCAGGAGTAATGTAGTTTTGTCCCCTCTGACCTTGTGTCCCTGACCCGCCGATGATTCTGATCTTTATTCCTCCTCTCTCAGAAACCAGATCGCTTCAAGCTGGCACCAGAGATGGACACGTACATGTCGGACTTCCTGCAGGCCTGCCAGGACTCCGACAAACAGCTGGCGGTCATGGTGGGCTTCTCCTCTCTGACCCACAATGGTTACCCCGTGGTGCCGTCGATGTGGAGGGTGGTGCAGCACCTGCAGCCCGCAGCCCTGCGGAGCTACGTGGAGTGGCTCAGAAACATGTTTCTGCAGCCTCAGATGGACCGGCTGCTGGACTTCAGCACCCGCAGGGAGAAAGGCCAGCAGCAGGAGCCGTGAGTTTACGCACCTTTTTACTTTAATACTGAATGAGTAAAAGTACAAGATGATTATAACTCTGGTTCTGTCTTCAGGAAGGGGAACGCAGTTTTCCGCCTGAGGAAGTGGATCGTTGCACGACTCGTCTCGATCATCGACAACAATCAGGCGAAGAAGCAGGAGGATCTCATCATGGATGTGTCCAGGTGAGCCCAGCCTCTTGGTGATGAACGTCAGGGTTTTCTAAAAGCTGAAGAGAAATCTCAGTCCGTGTTTTTCCTTTCCAGGTTTGTCTTTTTTCACGCCTTCTTCAGCACCAAGAAGGCCTCGTCAGACATAGCGGAGACTAATTCTAAGCTGTCCGTCCCACTGGATGATAAAACAAGAGAAGTGCTCGTCGACTCTTTCTTTGGGTGAGATGAAATCTCTGAAAACTGCAGCTTGAGTCAAATCCCATTTAATAAAAAAAAAAAAGACCAAGTACTCTGTTCAGGTGTCTCATGATCTCTGCTGTCTCCTGTCTGTCCTCCATCCAGACTCCTCATGTCCTTGCACCGCATTCTTCTCAGCGACGACAGCGCCGCAGTCAATCAGAAGCGAGTCCAGGGCGTAACGTCTGACGGCACCATGTGGATTTACCACCTGGTCCAATACGCCCAGCTCCTGCTGGACCATCCTAAACACGTCCAGAGCGTCCGACCATTGAGCCCCGAGCAGAGACAGGCTTGGGACGGGTAGGACGGAGTTCAGTCGTTACACTTGTGCTCACTTACTTCTTAAACTAAAATGTGATTTAAACGTAGCTTTTTAGATTTTCTTTCAGCTGGCAGAGTTGATGTGAATGTGGGAAAACATTTTCTTTGTCGTTCTTCTCTCAGCATGTTGGAGTCGGTGGAAAACCTGAAGAAAAAAGCAAAGAAAGGTGCAACGGCAGAGAGCGGCGCGTTCCAGCAGCTCTTCCTGCTGGTCGGCATGCATCTCTTTAAGGTAAAAAAAAATGGCTGCCTCTGATGAGGCCTCAGTCTGCAGATGCAGATAAGTTTGTTGGTACCCTTAAAAAAGACTACCGTATTTTCCGCCGTACATGTTGCACTGCCCTATAAGTTGCATCAGTCCAAATGTGTCTACTAAAGTGAATAAAATCCATGAAAATGTCGCTTCGCCGTATACGTCGCATTATGCGTCACCGCTGACATCCTGGAAATGTGGGCCGGTGTTGTGCCAAAAATCGATAGGCTGCCAAATTGGCGGGAGCGTGCACGGGAGGACTTTAGCAAGAATTTAACAAGATTAACACTTAAAAACAATTATTTGTTTGCTTGAAATTAAAGTAAAGGTGTGTCTCAGTCTACCTTTTGCTTAATAAATGCACTTTGACGGTCAAATCAGCTGCAATTTCAAAAACCGATATGCGAAAACATGAACACGCAGAGGGTGACTCGCTGTCCATTTATTCGAAATTTAACAGGTAACCACCTAAAAACAATTATTTGTTTGCTCGACTTTATAGTAAAGGTGTGTCTAAGTTGAACATTTACTTAATAAATGCACTTCAGTGGTCAAATCAGCAGCATTTCGCCGGGGCGGCGCAGCAAAATGAAGCTGATTCGGTTGCCTCAGTCAGACGACAATGGTAGACTATGGCAAGCCGATTATGTCATTAAATTCAAGCAGTCTGCTCCTCGGATATATAGTGTGAACTTATTATTTTTATGTTTGCATGTTTCTATTCAGTGCCCTTAGATTACTTCTGTTGTGACTTGGCGCTATATAAATAAACTGAATTGATTTGAATTTAATAGCAACTTTTACCTATTACATGATACAACGGCATGCCTTACTACTCTGCTGCCATCTAATGGCTGAAAATTGTAGTGTTCAATTTTTTTCAGTCATATCGAATGAAAATGGTCATATCTCAGCCAAAAATTGGTTTATAAATATGGGGAAAAAATCCATAAATATGTTGCTTCGGCCTTTAAGTTGTTGGGCATGAAAATTATGCACACAAAAAACTCAACTTATATAGCGAAAAATACGGTCTTAATCCTTGCATTAATGTCACATTTCAAACTGATTGACCTTAGTCAGAATCACAGATGTCTTCAAAGTTATTTATAGCTAATAGGTGGAGTTTGATATTAGTGTGTACACCACACCAAACATGTAGCAGATAATCCAAAGGTGAGATCTGCCTGAGCAGCTGAAATGAAGGTTATTGATATCTATGTTAAAGCTAAAAGCTACAAGACAAGCAGCTTCACGTTCCTCTGATGACAACTGACAAGATTATCTTAAAGTATTAGGCTCATGAGAATGTAGCCAACCCCCAAGACATGTACGCAAGAGGAAATGCAACCCCAGGTCGATCAGATGGATATTGCAGATGACAAAGAAAGATCCATGGGAACCATTTCTAGATGAATTCTAAAGTCAGATTTTGTCACTTTCTGAGTGGCTCTACTGTCGAGAGAAAACATAATGTACAAAAAAGCCAGACAGGAATTCACCAAATCACACGTTGACAAGCCTCAAAGTTTCTGGGACCGATGAGACAAAACTGGAGCTTTTTGGCTTCACTCTCATCAGCTGTGTTTCTTGGATTATTGTGGAATGGCACCAACAAATATGTCTGCATCTGTACTTAAAGGAAATTAATGTTTCTTTCCATTCAAAACTGCAAACTTCAGAAGGCATCATGCTGTGTTTTATCACTGATAAAGCTATTTGAACATCAGGTTTTCTCTGTAGTCAAACTGGGATTTATTTTTTATTTTTATCAAGTCGCTATGACAACTGTCTTCTGCATTTTATCACACTTTAATGAGCCGCAACCAGACCAGATTATCCTTACCTTCTTGTTTTTGGCCCATGCCAATAATCTTAAAGACGGCGATACCAATGTACATCCCGACTGACACTAAGATGTTTTGATCCACTGAAGGCCCCCGATGAGCTGCTGGACATCATGAAGGACCTGCAGAGCTGTTTGGACAAAGCACAGGAGAAAAAAGCCAAGAAGAAAAAGAAACAAGGTGGAGCTTCAAACATCAAACCATTTATTATCGTTTATCTTTGTGTCGTTTCACAAATTAATATCGCAAATGGTGATGGTTTGTACTTTTGACCTCTTGTTGGATTTTTATGAGGGAATTCTAAGATAATTTCACTTTGTTGTTTAGAAACTGTATAAAATTTCCAATCCAAGCATGCGATATTTTCTCAAACATTGAAATAAAACCGGACACCATTAAATTTCTTGCGGTACCAAGTGTTTATCCTCCCAAGATGCTTTGTGAAATTGAAAAAGGAGCATTTAAAACAGCAGAACCACAGTAAATGACTGTAAACTTGAGCATTTTGTGGCGTAACTGGTTCAAAAACGAACAGAAATATCTGAAAATCTAAATCTTTATATAAAACCTGTTGTAACCCTGTAAAATATTTAGTATGAGTCAGACTCTGTTTCAGTGCATCCAAAAGCATGAAAAATCCCTCCACTCACAATTAAAAGCACTACATTACTTTTTTTAATCAATTAATGCATAACTTTTCTAAATAAAATATTTACCTTCATGTCAAAGTAGCAATATGTTCAGTAAAAGAATGAACGTTTGTAATTCTTCAATGCATCTCCTCAGCCACGGAGCAGCAAGAAGAGGAGCCCGAGTGGGTGGAGGTGATGGTGGACATCTTGTTGTCCCTGTTGTCCCAGCAGAGCCGACACATCCGACAGGTCTGCAAAGCCGTCTTCTCCTCCATCTGTCCCCACGTCACCGCAGCAGCCCTCACCGCCATCTTAGACGTAAGTCACAGAAACGCCGCCGATCGGTTCACATTACCTGCAGTTTGTAATCTGCAGAATAGCAATTTCTTTTCTCAGTTGTCTCTTTAAGTGAATGTTTTTTTTTTGGGGGGGTGGGGTAGCAGTAGAGGAACAACATATAGTTGTCAAAAGCCTAGAGAGCCCTCTCGCGGCTGCTAGTGATAATGTTTACTCTTATTTGTGTCAGTATGAATGAACATTTAACGAGTCAGTCAAAAATTGCTTCATGAATAGAAGAAAAAAAACGTATAAGTCACTTCATACTATACGTCGCAGGACTGGCCAGTCTTACAAAAAAAGAGCTGCTAATGGTTAAATTATCTGCTCCTGCATATAAACCGCAGGGTACAAAGTGGCTTGTAAACGGGCAATTACGGTAATCCTTTAATCATAGACTTCAGTTGTTGCAATCTATGTTTTTGCCACTCGAGGGCACTGTTGTTGTTTTTGTCAGAACAACCGAACATAAGTGATGGACTGCCAGAGGTTCTGAATATTTGTAATGGTTTGGGCTCTGTGTAGGTCTTAGACCCTGAGAGGGAGGACGAAGAGGACGGGGCTGTCGTCGTCACTGATGATGCAGTGGTGAAGAAGAAGAAGAAGAAAGACGATGAAGAACACGATGAGGAGATGGAGGTCATTATTTTCTTTTACTCTAATTCCTCTTTGTTGCATCTAGTTTGCTTCAGCGCAAACATTTGATGCTGATTTTCTTTGCTCAGTCGGACGAGTCAGATGGGTCAGACGATGACTCTGACGAGGACAAAGCGATGGAGGAGGAGGACGAAAAAGAAGAAGTAGTGGATCAAAACTTCCGCACGGAGTTGATGAAGGTCCTCCAGAAGCAAAATGCTCTGGTGGGTGTTCCTGGCTGAAGTTAAGAAACGCTGCTAATAAGTTGACGACCTCCAACTTAAAATAAAATCCGTTAATGTTCAGGCCACCAAGGAGGAGGACGCCAGCAGTGACGAAGACCTGGATGATGAAGCCATGATGGCGCTGGATAAGAGTCTGTCGGCGCTGTTCTCCGAGCAGAAGAAAAAAGTCCAGGCCAAGAAGGACGAGAAGACGAAACTACAGAAAGAGCGGACGCTGGTCCGAGGCTTCAGGATCAAGGTGAGAGTTTAACAAGTTCAAAGGAAGCCGCTGATCCCCAAGGACCTGTCGTAACCCTGCTCCTGTTTTAGGTGTTGGACCTGATAGAGGTGTTCGTGGCCCGGCAGGCCAGCAGTCCTCTGATTCTCGGCTTGGTGGAGCCTCTGCTGAACATCATCAACAGAGGAATGAGCTCCGGCAGCGAGCAGCAGGAGCAAGACTTCCTCCGAAGAGCTGCAGATATCTTCAGGTGAGAACGCAGCATCTGTCAGGGTTAGGCCTGTCGTTGATAAACAATAAATCTATTAATCGCGTGATAAATGAAAATTTTCGACCTCATGTTCATTTATCGGCTTTATCGTTTCTTCGTGTCTCTCTTTCTACTGAAGACACTGGATGACAAAAAGCTCAACTCTGCTCTTCACTGACCCCTCCCTCTCTCTTTAAAATCCATTTGAACCGTCAAAAATCACATTTTTGGATCGTTAAAAGCAGCTAAGCTGAGAAGCTAAGCTACGAGCTAAGCTAACAGGCCGACCTTGGGGGGGGGAGAACCTCCGTCTTGTCGAAGCTCCAAAATTCACGTTTGAAACCTGTGCCTTCGTGTAAAAAGTTGTTTTTCTCTGCAAAACGAAGCTGAGAACTTGTTTACAGATTTTAAAAAAATTATTAAAAGCTTTTGTGTGAAAAAATGTTATGCTAAAGAGCTCAAACCACACCGAGCGTCTGCCAATTTGAGAACCGAAGAGAGACAGCCCATGTCATGTCAAGGGGCCTCCCTCCCATTTTTCTTAAAGACACGCTGCTCGCTCCCTCACTATCCATCCTTTGGTTCAAACAGTCTTATACTGCCATCTGGTGGTCAAAAAATTGTACTACATGCAAAACAAATTAAACATTTCTTCTTAAATTTGACAATAACTACTAATTATTGTCAAATTTCAAACAATATTATCGTTTATCGCAATAAATTCTGAGACAATTACTCGCTCAGCAAAATTTGTTATCGTGACAGGCCTAGTTAGCGTTTGTTTGTCTTTGTCATGGGTTTATTTAGCTCCGCGTGTTCGGCGTGGAGCTGTTGCGTGTGTTTGTTTCAGGGGTTTTCCTCTGCAGTGAGGAGCTCTCACTTGATGGGATCACCTGTCGCTGAAGCCAAAAGCACAATTAAGATTTTCTCTGTCTGTGCACATTCCTTTGCATGTGTGTTAGCAAAACAGTTGATGAAGCGCTGCGACTGATAAAGAATAAATGGCTATAATTTGGTCTGTTTCAGAGATATTGAGCTAAAATTTGGCGTGGTAGTAGCTGAGAGTCATTCCCAACACATACTCCAAGAGCTAGCAGACAACGTGAAATGTTTGTTTTAAACTCTGTCGTGAAATGTGGTGCGTGAGCCACATTCCTTTAAGAAATCAAAGGCTTTTATTTTGATTTCACCTTTTTTAATTTCAAATCATTCAGTCACTCGAGGTCATCTTGTCCATTTATGTATGTTCACAACTGCGTGCAGAATGAAACGGGACACAGAAAATAAACGTGCGGGACTAGATAAGTTTGTAATTTATGTAAGAGAGATGATTGGGCTCCGTTTGATTTGTGTTTTTTAAGAAGAATTAAGCTTTTAATGAAAAGTGGTCTAAATTAGGCCAAAAGCCATTTTATTTTATTATTTAAATTGTTTTTTATTGGTTGTTTTCCTCTTTAAGATAAAATCCCTCTTTCTTCTCTGTGACATGACGAGGATGCACGGCTCTCAGCGTATTATCTTAAACATCGTGTGTCTGTGTCAGGATCAGTTTGTTTAATGGTGCTCAGATGCTTTTTGCACTCGATGCGTTCTGTTTGTAGGAACCAGCTGTGCAGGTCCAAAGTTTACTGCAGGACCGTCGCAGACCGACAGGGGGAGCTGCACGACCTGCTGGACAAGCTGATGGGTAAAGCCCAGAAGCTGAACGACTCCTCCGTGTGTCTTTACTACTTCAGGTTTGTTGTTTTAAACGCTGAACCTCACGCGCCTCACTTTTTGTGAGCGCTCAGCTCGTGGCTCCCCGCGGGGCGGAGAAAAGGTTGCTGATTCAAACAAAAATTAGAATTATGGCTCTTGTTTGCGTGAATTTGCTGCTGATGTTGTTCTTTCCTTCAGCGCCTCTCTTTATGTGGTGAAAGTGCTGCGAGGAGCGCCGCCTGCTGAGAACAGAGAGGCTCCGACGGCTGACGGAGCAGCAGCGAGCGACGTACGTTTACTCTCTGCCACCCTGTTCACAGTTGGATTTCACTTGTCTGGTACTTCCTTACTGGGTGGAGGCTGCTGTGTTCAGATCAGTGCACAGTATGCAAGAACCAGGAGGAAAACCAGAACCAGAGGAGTCAAAATAAATCATTGTATTTTTGACATTGTGTCCAGGTTTGCAGCAGGTCTGCTCCTTTGTTTTCCTCAGGTCAGGGACTGTCCTGGATAACTCGGCCTCCTTTGCACAGAAATTTATTGTATATCTTCGTCCTTATTTTAGACAAGTTTTTTTCCCCAGGCCTTTGTACTCGTTATCCACAACCATTTATCTAATAGCAGGCAGGTTATTGTTGGATAAAAATATCCTCTATTTATCTTACTTACCGTATTTTCCGCCGTATAAGTCGCACCCCCCCATAAGTCGCATCAGTCTATATTTGTCTAATAAAGTGGAAAAATCCATAAATACGTTGCATCTATTATGCGTTACCATTGACGTGTCACGTTTGTTACACGTCAGCTAGGGCTGGGCCATATCGTATCATTCACGATAATACCGGTAAAAAAAACAGCTTGCCCGGGCAAAAAAATGATATCATGATATGCTAATTTCATGACGTAACACGTCAGGGCGCCTCGCCCCTTTAACAGAACTGAGCGCGCCGAACGACCACACCGAAATGCGCACCCCCCTTCACCTGTCGGTACTGGTGTAACGCTAATTAGTTGCGCACAATACTAGCTAGCTAAAAAGCTAAAAACATTGCGCGGCTCAGCTGTCTCTCCATCCAGCTCTAAACTGCAGGTACAGACAACTCAAATGTCTCTCCCTCCCCCCGCTCTAAGCTGCCACTCATTTTTTATTTTTATTTTTCTCTCCCCACCCCGCTCTGAGCTGCGTCTCCCCTGCTCTAAACTGCCGGTACAAACACGCACAGCTTAACTGTCTCTTGAGATCCACAGTCCATGGATCAAGAACAGAGTCAGGTGATGAAAGAGAAATGAATCATTCCTGCAGGAACAGAAGAAGCTGAAACACCACAAGCTTCAGGGTCAGCTCATCACCTTGTTACAAGCTCTGAAAGTTATAGCTCATTTAAAGGAAACGTATATTTTGTTGTAGGTTACATTTATGCTCGACAGATCTTAAGCTTCATTTTATTTTATTTTGTATTTTGGGAAACTTCACCTGCACTTTAGTTTTTGTGGTGGATTTATTGATCTATATTTTGTGCAGACTTTTTCCTATCTAAATAACACAAGGATCTTTTTTATTTTTATACTTGGAGACTGAATACTTTACTAAATAAAGTAATTTCAGTCAACTTACCCCTTGGTTTTTTATTTTTTATTTTAAATAATACTGCAAAGCAACATGTTAAGTTCATTTTGTCAAATAACTATGATTTCTTTATTATTATTATTCTTTTTTTGTTATATCACGAAATTAATCGTTATTGTCAGAATGCTCTGAAATATCACAATATTAAATTTGAGCCATATCGCCCACCCCTAACGTCAGCGGTGACAACCCGTAAATGTGGGCCGGTGTTGTGCCAAAAATTGATGGCAGCTGCGGGGGCGTGCGCGGGAGGACTTTATCAAGAATTTAACAAGATTAACACTTTAAAACAATTATTTGTTTGCTCAAAATTATAGCAAAGGTGTGTCTCAGTCTGACTTTTCCTTAATACATGCACTTTGATGGTCAAATCAGCTGCATTTCAAAAGCTGATGCGCGGAAGTAGGATCATGCACAGGTGAACTCGCTGTGCATTTCTTCGAAATTTAACAAGCTAACCACCTAAAAACAATTATTTGCTTGACTTTATAGTAAAGGTGTGTCTCTTTGTAACGTTTCCTTAATAAATGCACTTTGACGATCAAATAGCTATATTTCAAAAGCCGATACGCGGAAACATGAACACACAGAAGGCGACTCGCTGTGCGTTTCTTCTAAATTTAACAAAATAACCACCTAAAAACAATTATTTGTTATCTCGACTTTATAGTAAAGGTGTGTCTTAGTTGAACTTTTACTTAATAAATGCACTTCAATGGTCAAATTAGCTGCATTTCTCCAGGACGGCGCAGCGAAATGAAGCCGATTTGACGGTTGCTCCTTACAAATGACGATGGCAGTCTGTAGCAATGTGAATGTCCCACAGTGGAAGCAAACTTAAAACTGGGTTGGGGGGAGAAAACTGCTGCAAAGTGTTAAAACTGTTTTAAAAATAAAATGCATTAAAAAAGGGATGGGGCCGGGTACTATAAAGCAGGTTTTAAGGAAGGGGACAAATAAACTCAATGTCCTTGACCCAATATGAAAAATATAAAGAGGTTTTTATGGTTTTAGTATAATTTTAATTTTATATATCTTACTCTGTTTGCAAGTTTTGACCATATTTACTTTAAAGAAGTAAAAACATCCGTTTGTTCAGTTGCATCAACTGAATTTTACCCCCTGTTTAACGCACTGATGGCTCCTTTTTTTTTTTAAATAAAGAAATGCAACAAAAACAATGAGCGGTAGACTTCATGTTTGGCTCAACTCTGCCGACAACTTTGCAATTTTATATCAATCCGGTCTTTATTTGAACCTCTTGGACACATTGAGCATCATTCATAGAACAGATTCTTTGGAAACATGGACGTATTTGGACCCCCGGGCCCTGTTTAGACCCGGTTCTTTTGTCCGTCTTTAACTATCAAATACATTCAGATAGCACGAAATACAGGCAAAAAAAAGGGGCCTATAATTAAACAGCCATCCTTGGAAATACTTTGAAGATGGAGACGTTTTTATTTTTGTTTCTTTTTCGCTAATTCTTTAAAAAATATTATTTGGAACATTTCTAAGTAAAATGTCTGGTTTTTGTTGGGTTTTATTCATTAAAATGCAGGCCGCAGTGTGATGTCACAAACAGTTGATGCACAGCTGCTGTTAAGAGGTTTTCCAAAGGTGTTCTGAATTATTTGAAAGAACGTCTCATAAAAACAGAAGTGACATCTATCTGGCGATAATATAAAGCATTTTCTCAAACGCTCGGAGCTAATTAATTTCTCATCGGCCCACGCTGACAGGTTTTAGTTTTCAGTCTTTTGAAATACCCGTCTCCATAACAAAATAACAGACATGAATGGAAGTCCTTTTCTTCTATCAAAACTGAATGTGTTATGTTTTTTTACATAATTTCCATGAATATAAAACTAAAAAGAATACAGTTTATTGTTGTCTTCACAAAATATTGAGTGGCTGTTTTAGGATTTTGAGTGTTTAGGTCACATTAGGTTTTTTTTTTTGTTTTTTTCAGGTACAGTTCATTATTTCAATCTGCATTGAAGCTTGTTTTGTAAATTGTAAACCCCTTTTTTTATATATATATTTCATAAAAGCTCCTCGTCCAGCTCTAATAAATGACACTTTGTGTGCAAAAGAAAAACAAAGCTGAGCAGCAAATTAGATGATTCTTTTGTCATTTTGTCAGTTTACATAATTTTAGCCATTTTTCTCCACCTACGTGAAAACTTCTAGACTCAGATTATTGTCACGATGAACCAACGTGAAGGATTTCAGGGCTCTGAAGAATCTGAATGAGAGTCAAACATGACTTGTTTTATTTTCACTTTTACTTTTCCTGCCTAAAGTCTAAACTTGTGTGTCTGTGTGATCTTGTGCAGCTGAGGTTTATGGGTAACGTGGACGTAGATCGGGTCTCCGGCCTCTTCAGAGACGCTCTGAACTCCTTCATGAGTCGGAGGAAAAGCCCTCTGACCACCCAGATGTTCACAGACCTGTTCAGCAGATTCCCCGTGAGTTCAACCAGACCTCTTTACCTGCAGACGTGATTTACTCACCTCCGAGGTCAAAATAACACTTTGTGCTTCTGGCCAGGTTTTATGTGTGAACCTGTTGGATACAGCTGTGCAGCACATCACATCTGGAATCCGAGAACATCAACAGGTAAAACCTCGTTTTTTGGCCTTTTCCTTAATAACGATTTTCTGTTTACATTGTAACAAATTGCACAGAAATCTGTTGTGGTTCTACGAGTTTACCTCGTCAGGATTGTTCCACGTCATTTAAAACGCTTATAAATTTATAAAAAAAATTGTAATTTATTTTTAACAGCTGTCATTTTGAGTTATGTGTATTCACACCATCAACCGTCTCCAGTGTTCATCTCAGACACTCAAACACACAAATCTCATTCTTTCAAGAACGCTGGTATTAATTCATTTTTTTTTCCATCCTTTATTTATACAGGTTAGTCTCATTGAGCCTCGATGACTCACTTACAAGAGACGAGTTGAAATGTCTTTCAGCAAATTAGCTCTAATTTTCTTTATTCAATGTCATTTTAAGTTTTAAATACAGTTCTATAAGGTTCAGCTAGCCTTTTGCCTTTTTTCACTTATTGCTACTATTTGGCTTATTTTAGCTAACCTTTCGCCTATTTTAGCGTTTAGCTACTGTTCTGCTATTTTTGCTTTTAGTTTTAAGCTGTCATTCTGTTTAAGCTTTGAGCTAGCCTTTTGATACATTCAGCTAAATCCAGCTAATCTTTTGCAGATTGTAGCTAGTGTTTTACTACTTTTGGTTAGCCTTTTGCTACATTAACTTAGCTAGCTATTTGCTGTGTTAAGCTTTTGGCTTTTAGTTTGGTGCATTTAGATTTTAGTTTGCCTTTTTTTTTACTTTTAGCTATCCTTTTGCTACTTTAGCTTTGAGCTAGTCATTGTGTTCCTTTTTAGCTGAACCTTTTGCTTCTTTTAGTTTTTAGCTAGTGTTTTGCAACTTATGCTTATACTTTGCTGTTTGCTATTTTTAGCTTTAAGCTTTTAGCTAGCGCTTTGATATCCTTAGGTAAAATGAGCTAATCTTTTGCTGATTATAGCTAATATTTTACTACCTAGCTAGCCTTTTAGTACGTTAACTTCTGGCTATCTGTTTGCTGCATTTAGCTTTTAGTTTGCCCTTTGATGCTTTTAGCTACCTTTTTATAAAAATAACTTTTAGTTAGCCACTTGATAATTTTAACTACCCTGTGCATCTTTGCACTAGTCTTTAGTTGCTTTTAGCTGGCCTTTTGCTACTTTAAGCTTTTAGCTAACATTGTGCAACTTTTGGGTGTTAGCTAGCATTTTGCTACTTTCAGCGTTTCTACGATGTTGATTAATTTTCTGTGTGATCGACTTTGATTTCAGCTGGTTTTGTTAACGTGTTCATCATTTCGCTTTATGGATCTCATTTTGTGTGTTTAGGGTCAAGCGTGCGTGTTGGTGTTGCGGGCGATGCAGAGCAGAGACGTCCAGAAGCTTCTGAGCGGCAAAAAGTGGACAAAGCTCTGTGAGAATGTGTTGGAACATCTGGCTGAGGTAAGTCCGCACAGGTTTTGTGAGCGTTTTGTCCTGAGGAATCTTACAGGAACCAGATTCTTTCAGGCAGGTTTTTGTTTTGGTCCAGTCCTGTTCAGCAGACGTCATTAGAGTAAACAGTCCCGGTAAAAAAGACTTGTAGGACTTTGAGACTGCAAATGAACTTCTGGGGCGACCTGGGTCCTGTTAGCTGTTTCTACCTGGCCTGCGTGAGGCTAATAGAAAATCAGAAATTAAATATAAATCATTCCACAGGCAAATTTTAAAATTGTATTTTCAGTGATTAGCAGAATAGATGAAATGCTAAAAAGCATGAACCCATCTGAAATGAATGGCAGCAACACAGATTTGCACTTTTAGTTGCTGTGATCGATCCACAAAGGTTTAAAGTCACGAATAAAACAGCGAATCCACTCAGAAAACTGTGATGACTGCAGGTTTTGAGTTTATTCAGTGCAACCTGATTTTTTAAAAAAAAGGTGTTTTTAGATCAGCGTCTAATTCTGACACTTCAAACCACTTCATTCACCCGCATTTTCATCTGTGGTGCATCAGACCAGAGCTGAAGAAGATTTAAAGGTTCCTCAAAAGAATCTTCAGGGGTTAAAACTTCCGGTTGTCTCGGCTTTAAACCCTCGTTTATACCCCAGAGGTCCATCGCTGAACTTATCATCTGATGCTTTTTACATCCAAGTCTCATTCAGCACCACCTTTAAACAACCGGTGTAAACTCATTTAAAATCAAACTAAGCAGTCAACTTTATGAACTGACAGCACATTTCAAAGGGACCGAAACCCTGACCCCTCTTTAACTCAAGTGTGAAGGACATCTTAATTACGTGCGTTTCTCCCTGCCTGTTCTGGATGCACAGATCCAACTTTCCCTCCGCTTCCCGTTCCCAAACTCAAAGGGCCCATCCAGTTCTGCGTCCCTCAGATTAAATTCTGCCAAACTCTCCTTGTGGAACTGATTGAAAGTCATTTTCTCCGTGCGCAGGAGGCTGTGGCTGCACATCGTGTTCCCACTCTGAGCGGAGATGTTCGCAGACGCGCATGCATTAGGCCCGTGTGCGTTTTAATTATATTAATCTAGTGAGTTTATGAGATTGCATGGTGCTGTGATAAATGATAATTAGAGGCGCCGCTCCTCTCTGTGTCCTCCTCGTGTCCTCTAGAGAGCAAGGGGTGAAGGCATGGGTAATTACATGCTTCTGTAAATCCTCCCAGCACAGCTCCACCTCTCGTGTCTCCTCTCCCAGCATAAGATCAGAAATCCAAGACAACAGAACCACTTTATCCCTCTAAACCTCTCTTGTAGATTTTCTTGCCAATTTGTGATAAATGGAATCCGTTTTGAAGCGCCAGTGTTTAAATTACGTTTCAGACAAGGACTGCAAGGTTAAACCTTTGCCACAGCTTTAATATTAATGAAGAAATGAACTTTTAATGTATTTGTCAAACACCGAGACGTGAACGTGAACTATAAGAGGCTGCTGTATTTTAGAGGTGGGAAGCTTAGGGCACCTCATGATTCCATGTGGTTACAATTCAATTAAACAATTACCCTATTTTTCTGACTATAAGGCACACTTAAAATCCTTTAATTTTCTCAAAAATTGACAGCGAGCCTTATAATCAGGAGCGCCTTATGTTAGTTTAGGCCTGTCACGATAACAAATTTTGCTGGGCGATTAATTGTCTCAGAAATTATTGCGATAAACGATAATATTGTTTGAAATTTAACAATAATTGTCAAATTTTAGAAAAAATTTTGATTTCTTTGGTGTGTAGTACTGTTTGTGACCACCTGATTGCAGTATAAGACTGTTTGAACCAAAGGATGGATAGTTGAGCAGCGTGTCTCTTTAAGAAAAATAGGAGGGAGGCCTCTTGACGTGACATGGGCTGACATTGTGTCATGACGTTCGGTGGTTTGAGCTCTTTAGCATAGCATTTGTCACACAAAGCTTTTAATTAAAAAAATCAGTAAACAAGTTCTCAGCTTCTTTTTTCAGAGAAAAACAACTTTTTACACGAAGGCACGAGTTTCAACCGTGCATTTTGGAGCTTCGACAAGACGGACGTTTATTCCCGAGATTGGCCTGTTAGCTTAGCTCGTAGCTTAGCTTCTCAACTTGGCTGCTTTCGTTAAAACAGATTTTAAAGAGAAAGGGAGGGGTCAGTGAAGAGCGAAGTTGAGCCGTGTCTTCAGTAGAAAGAGAGAGACACGAAGAAACAGTAAAGCCGAAACGAGGTCGATAATTTTCATTCATCATGCGATTAATTGATTTATTGTTTATCGCGACAAGCCTATATTAATTCTGGTTGTGCTTACTGACCTCAAACTGATTTTATGTAGTTATTGTGAATGAGTTCGCCTTATAGTCCGAAAAATACGGTATTGGTATATTGCAATTATTTTGAATTGAAAGGGCTTTAGCTTATTTTACACAAAGTAACACTGGTTTAAAAATCTTGGCTTAAAAACAGTGTTGAAGAATCCTATCAATCTCAGGCTGTTGACCAACAATTAGCGTAGATGCTAAATTACCGTTGAAATTGCCTTAGAAAAAGCTGACGTGATTATCGTGTTTATAGCTGGAAATTTATACACAAATTAGACATTTTGAAGTCATTTCTAGAGAAAGTAATGTTTTGATAACTTCTGATTTTTTACAGACATAACATTCTTCAGGATTCTATTAATAGAAGCTGAAAAATGTGTGGCAACTTCACTGTAATGTGTTTTACCACCGGAAGCTACGGTAACTCAGCTAGAACAAACGGCACCATGCAACAAAAACTGCTGACTCTCTTGAAGTGGCAGCAAAGATTAACATTAACTCAACAGATTTTTGACAGATTCAGAATGTCAACAGTGCAATGTATCTAAAATAAATTGTTTACTTCCTTCGTCTACTGTATAAACAGAAGGGCAGTGACTTTATAAATCACATAAGCTCCGGAGTGTTCAGATTAGAGCTGTATTAATAATATCAGTTTGTCGTTGGTGTTGAATGATAAGGAGATATCAGCTTCAGTCCTGAACTAGAGATAAGATTAAATTGGGCCAGATTATTTCTGGGTGGTAAACTGGACAGGACCTGGTTATTGTAGGACGAAGTCAACGGTTTTGCTCGGTCAAAAACAACCGATCAGTTTTACAGATATTGAGCTAAAACTAGATTTACTGGTAGTAGGGCTGGGCGATATGGACCTAAATTAATATCTCAATGTTTTTAAGATAAATCGCAATATACGATATATATCTCAATTTTTTTTTTCTTTCTAAAAATATATTTCTGAGTCAAAGCTTTGTCCCAATTGTGCGTTAAGAAGTGCATCTTCTTTCAGAGTCTCGGGCAGGTCAGTGGAGCGGAGAGCAAAGTGACCAAAGACAAGGTGGTGATGATGCTGGAGCTCTGTCAGTTTCTGGTTAAACATGTTCACCAGCAGGTGGGTGGACTCACGACGTGGGGGTGAACAACACCGGGGGGAAAAGTCGACACGGACTCAGTTTCTCTCTGTTGTCTGTGCAGAAGCTGTCTGTGAACCTGGACCCCCTCCAGGGCGTCCTCCAGTCCTTGACCAGCGCTGTGGAGTTCAGAAAAACTGGAAAACTGGAGGACAACTACTGGGCTGTGATGAAGCACTTTGGAGTGATGTGAGTCTTAGACATGAATACATAAACACCTCTGTAATGAAAAGAAATTATCCCTGTCCACCTTTTGTTTAATTTATTGCTTTATGCTTTCTTTACAAGCTTCCTATACGGTCTTAAAGCATAAAAATTGTATGAAATTTGCTTTTAGTATTTTTAGATTTACTGTATTTTTTGGCCTATAAGTCGCAGTTTTTTTGCATAATTTGCATGCCCTGCTACTTATATGCCAAAGCGACTTTTTTTTTCCTTTCCATATTTATAAATCAATATTTGGCTGAGATATGACTGTTTTCATTCATTCTGACTGAAAATATTGAGCACTGCCATTTTCAGCCACTAGATGGCACTCAAGTTGTATGGCATGTTGTTGTGTCATATAATAGGGAAAAGTGACTATTAATGACACAATCGGCTTGCCAAAGCCTCCCACCTTTGTCCAGCTCGCCTGGAGCAACCGTCAAATCAGCTTCATTTCGCTGCGCCGCTCCGGCAAAATGCAGCTAATTTGACCATTAAAGTGCATTTATTAAGCAAAAGTTCAACTGAGACACACCTTTACTATAATTTCAAGCAAACAAATAATAGTTTTTAGGCGGTTATCTTGTTAAATTTAGAAGAAATGCACAGCGAATACTCCCGTGCACGCTCCTACTTCCTCGTATCGGCTTTTGAAATGTAGTTGATTTGACCGTCAAAGTGCATTTATTAAGTAAAAGGTAGACTGAGACACACCTTTAATATAATTTCAATCAAACAAATTAATTTATTCATTCAACCTTTATTTAAACAGATAAATCACATTGAGCCTCGAAGACTCATGTACAAGTGAGACCTGTTTGGACAAACAAAAACAGTGGTTAACTGGACACATGTAGGAGTTTGAGGTGAAAAAAAATCCCATCAGACTTTTTTTTTTCTTGCCTGAGGAAAAAAAACTAATATTAAAAAAACACCTCACACAAACAAGCACATATTTACGTAGACATTCTTCAATCGGAGACGAGAGCGGTCAACAACGCTTATAGATGCTCTCGAGGTCACTGTAATCAGTCAATGTCCTCCGGTGAGATCTATAAACATTCTTCAGGTATGTCGAGGAATGGACAAGAATAACGTCTATGAGAATCCAAGAGTCCTGAAATGATGACACAAAGTTTATTCAGCTGGTTTCATCTGGTTATCAGTTGGAAATTCCTCAGGGAGGGGGTGGTGAGCGTCGGATCACATTTTCTCCAGGCGAATTCAGATAAGATGGCCTTCAAGGCCAGCCAAGGGAGGCAACTTAGATAAACACACAGTTGTTTTGGGGATGGGCAGAACTTAATGACATCTACCTTGAGTCTGTGTTGGTCCACTCGGTTCCGAAATGTCCAAAATAACATGGCCACACCGATGGAACGTGACTGAGTAAAATCTCCAAGATCTGATCCATTCAGCCCAAAGCATTTGAGTCCGGGTACACGAGACACAAACCAAGCCATCATAAAGGCAAGCAGCGTGATCGGGTCCAAATTTGCTGCCGACGACTTCCTTGATTGTAGATTAAACCAGCACCAGCTGAATCCAAAAAAGCAGGAACCAGTTATCGAAAATCCAATTAAATATGCGTCCTTAAAATCCACAGATGGCAGCAGAGATAGACACATCATCAAGTCTTCCAAGTCGACGAGATATCCAGCTGCGTGCGTGCCAACAGGGCAAATCGGCTCACCTAAAGCCCGTCTTCTCTTCGAAGAAATGCTGTAAATTGAGTTGAGGGACCAACTGGTCAAAACAAGTCCATAATTATGGTTCGGAAGAAATGCAAAAGAGTCTCACAGCAATTTCACAGACAGACAGAGCAGCAAAGCAAAGCGGAGAGGGAGGGAAGCATCCGATCTCGTGGTGAAGTGTTTTTAAGTGTTAATCTTGTTCATTTCTTGTTAGTCCTCCTGTGCCATTTGGCAGCCAGTTGATTTTTGGCACAACACTGGTCCTCATTTACGGGTTGTCAGTGGTGACAAGTAACAAACGCGTCAGCGGTGACGCATGATAGATTCTGGTTGTTCTGATTCTGAGATGCGACTTATATGGCGAAGTGACATTTAAGGATTTTTCCACTTTATTAGACATAATTGGACTGATGCGACTTATAGGGCGGTGCAACGTTTACAGCAGAAAATACGGTAGTTAAATTTGGGAAAAAACTGAGAGGCTCAGATTCATGGTGTGGCATGTTTTACTGTGTTTTAGGCACAATTTTCATTTTTCAAAAGGTAAAAATATGAATTTCTAACTAATTCTCCCAAACGTGAACTGTGTGATTTTCACATAAACTAAAGACAAAACAATGGACACAGTGACCATGTTTAACTGGCAGCAACTTTTCTCTACTAGCAACAATTTTAGTTTAAACTGTGATTTTTAAAGCCTTCTTGATGTTCACATGTTGCCAGGAAGCCCAAAGTTGAGAAGACGAAGCCCGACCAGGAGACCGAGACGGAGATGGTGCCCAAGAAGAAGAAAGGTTTTCTGCCTGAAACAAAAAAGCGTAAAAAACGCAATAAACCTGATCTGGAGCCAGCCTCCAAAAACAAGCCAGAAGAGGAGAAAGAACCAGCTAAAAAGAAACCGAAAAAGAAGACGAAACAGAAACGAGCCGCCGATGGTGCGGCCGCTTCCCAGCCCGGCCCGGCCAAAAAGAGCAGAACACAATCTGACAGTAAACCTGGCAAGAAGAAGAAGAAGAAAACCGAGCAGAGGAAAGGAGAGTAAACGTGAAGTGGATTATTTAAATGGACTCACTGAAAAGGTTTTGAATATCCTTTTAAACAGTTTATTCTTTTTGTTTTTTTTACTACCAGGTCAGCTTTGATGGTTTGTTCAACGTGAGAGACAAAATTAAATTTGTGAGAATCAGGATTTGACTTCTTATTTTTATTTTATTTGATGAGAACTGTTGATTAGAAATATGTCTGCAGTTAAATGTGATCTATGAAATGAGCACAGCTGAGCTTCAGTGCACAACCATTGAATTAAAATATTGAAAAACACCTAAACTGAGATTTGTGTAAAAATGAGTCCATGAAGGCTGAATGATCTCCCAGTAGCTATCAATCTATCATTAAAGTTTCTAAAAGGTAAATCTTCAGAAATATTTTTCACTTAAATCCTTTTTTACTAGAAAATGGACTATTTTTCTCTGCTGGCTGAGCAGAGCCATCGGGAAATCCCTTCATATAACTCCCCTTTTTAAATACATAGCTGGAATTCCTGATGACATCGCTACAGACCAACAAAAAAAAGTTTTTAAACCAGCACGCGCAAGCAAAACTAGCTTATTGCCAGGTGATAAATCCCCAACATTCACCAAACTTCATATCGTTTTGAAGCTTTTGAGATGAAGAATTTTAAAATGGAAATAAATCAGTTTTAATAATTATGACTCGTTTTTGCCAGCACGGTCACAAATTAGTTTCTTTGCCTGAAAATCCACCAGTTTCACTCACTTTTAGAGCCGTTCTTTCAGCTTTTAAGGAGGGAGCTAATACAGTTTGTGGCACAAAGCTGGAGGAACGTTCCGTGGTCGTTTGAAAGCGCTTAGGCTCCGCCCACACCTTGCGTTAACATGCATGTGTTATGATCCAGTCATGCTTGGATAGCTTGTTAGTTAAAAACAGATCCATTCTAGAATGACGCCCGGGGAGGGCTTTCTGGGACATTTGGACACGTTCTGGCAGCAGTGTGAATTTTAATGTGTCCTGGGTCTCATTTAATGTTTCATCCTCGCTGAAGCTGCAGGATTTTGGCCTCGCCGAACAAACACTCTTCTTGTCAGCAGGGGTGCAAAGGTGTGTTCAAAAACTAAAAGCAGCGATGCATAAAGAGGGACATGCATCACAGCTGGCAGAATCCAAATTTAATCTAATCGAGTAGTGATTTTCAATGAAATTCACATTAAAACACATTTCTGTTCATATTGCACTCGTTCTGTTCATATTGCACTTGTTCTGTTCATATTGCACTCGGGTTTTAGTGAATTTTTAAACCGTACGAAAATTATGTTTTTATTTTGCTAAACGCCTACGAAAAGCAAATAGTTTTTTTAATATCCCATTGGAAACATTTTGCAATATCTTGAGTAAAAAAAAACATGGAGTAAAAAAAAAAACACACGAATTACTTCAAACACAAAAAAATGTTAATTTTTAAAAAATATATATTTTAAAATGTGACAAATTTAAATTTTTATAAATATGTCCTAGAAAATATATAAATTCTACTAAAAACAATTAAAAACATAGTATTTTTTTTTATTGTTTTTTGGCTCTAACATGATGTAACGTCAACTTCTCAGTGGATTAAAATAAACAATAATCAAGAATCTAAAAAACATCAGACCTATTCTTAACATGAAACATTTAAATTTTTTCTCTTATACGTTTAAGAGCATATTTTTGTTTATCAAAGTTAATGCTCAATCATCCAGGTACTAAATCCAGTAATGCTCAGTCAGGTCATATGGACAGTTTCTTTTTTGCAGAAAGACAGAGGGCTTCATCAGTCTGAGCCAAGTAAACTGTTTCCCCACCACTCCTTAAGTGGACCAACCAGTTTGCTGGAGATACATTTGTTTACTTACCATTAAAATACAAGTTACTGTATCCTGAGTGATGTGTTGTGTGTGAATTTTAACTCCTCTGCGTTTAACATGGCTACAAACCAGTCTGAAAAAAAATCATAATTTACCAATTTATGGCTGTAATATAACCACCAGCAAAAAAAAACCTAAAAGAAACTAATCACTAATATTGATTTTTTTTCCCAGCCTAACCCAATTTTTCAGCATTTTTAATAAGCATTTTATTTTTTTTTAAAAAGCGAAATTACTATTTTATTTTCATAAATACATGTTTTGATGAGCCTGAGTGATAAAAAAAAAAAAAACTCATAAACCAAAATAATCTTATTCCCTGATGCACTCCTGACATTTTATTGGAGTTTTACATTGACATATTTTCTTCAAACCTCAGAGTCAAACAGGGGTTATGGGTAAATCTACCAAATCTAAGAGATTAGAGTAATTAAGTGGACATAAATCTTCTGAAGCTTTAATGTTACAATATGAGACATGATCAAATAAGAAAACCAGAAACTCTTAAGACAGATTTCAAAACCAAGCACCTGCCTTGAAACAGAGTGGGTTTTGAGAAAAACAGCATTTCATAAGAAGATTGCATCAAGGGTTTAATTTCATCCATGGAGCAGAGTCACCATTCTGTTCCAGATGTGCGGCCTCAAACAGCTGTCACTGCGTTACATAATGGAGGACTGCCCCTGGCCTTTGTACACAGTTGGATGTGGGGCTTTGTGCCGTAAACAAAGGTAAGCAATCACACGGAACCCTAATTCTGCTGCCAGAAAAATGATGCAGCGTCCCCCCAAATGGATTACTTTACAGGACATGAAGTCTTGCAGCGATAAATTTACAGGAGTGTTAGCTGGCAGCTGCCTCATCCATCAGTAATCTCATCTTAAAGGCCCTCTGCAGTGCAGGAGCAGCAGCTGAGGACAACAGGGCCTCATGTTTGCCTCCAGCTTCCCTATGCTGCATCCTTTAAACCTTCACTGACGTGATGTGACCAAATATCACAGCAGGGGGGAAAAAAACAACCTGGGACTGCAGAGGGATGGGACTATAAAATGCATGGTTTACTTCTACAGGACTGGATACAAAGTTTGAAAAAAATTTTTTTATTATAAATCCGGTTTAAACGTTTAATTCAACAAAAAATAGCTGTATGAATGGCTCATTCTAAGGAAAATACACATCAATACACAAAATCAGTATTTATTTTAAAAACTAAATCTTTAGTCAAAAACAAACTTTAGTACAAGTTTGGTTTTTAAAAAAAGCCCCACGTTGGGCGCCAAAACGTAGTGCTTCTACAATGATCAAACAACAATTGTTGAGTAAAAAACAGGCGACACAGAGTCTCTGGATGACAGCAAAATTAATTGGGTTTTTTGAAGAGTGTAAGAAATGTTGGTCAGTCAGAAAAAGCATAATTACACAAGAAAGCTTAAAAAAAAGACTTACTCCAAACTCATACGTTCCTTATGTATTTGCCGTGAGGAATATTACATTGTATTCAGTATATTGTATTCAGTCAGGAATCCGTTCCTGTCCATAGATGGTCAATTGGCCTTACACCCAGACGTATGATGTCTGTGCACTTTCTGCAAAATAAATAAATTCTTTACGCATAAGCTAACTTTGGTTGAACCTTTTCTTATTTAGTAAGACAAATAAGACACATTTCACAAAAGGCACATTTTGGTGAGGAACAAATAGTTCACTGCCTAATAAAACTTGTTTAAATTTGTTAAACGGAACAAATGCCTAAATCAACAAAACAGAGGTTACAAAAAATTTACTAAAAACTACAAATGTTAGCAAAATACAAGCTGCAAACTAAAATAGGTCAAATCATAGCTAGAACAAGCACTAAAGAGCAAAATCACAGCTAAAAGTTTAAATTAGAGAACAGTAGCCACAAGCTAAAATTAGCAAAACCATAGCTAAAAGATCAAATGAAGAACTAATATTTCAAGCTAAAATTAGTAATTCATAGCTCAAAGCTAAATAATAAAACCATATCTAGAAGCTATAATTTACTACACTGTTGCTACAAGCTAAAATGAAAAAAAAAAATCATAACAAAAGGCAAAAAAAAGTGGCTAAGAGTTAAAATGAACAAAACTAAGGCAAGAAGCAAAAATGAACAAAATGTATGTAAAAGTGTAAAAAGCAAAATCATGGCTTAAAGCTTAAACTAGCCAAAATGTAGCTAAAAGCTACAACTGAAAAACAGTAGGTACGAATTTTAATTCAAAAGAATCTGTAGCTACATTTTTTAATTGACAATATAACTGTTTTTCTTTTGGCTACTTCCTTCTGTAAGGGTCGCCACAGCTAATGAACGTGCATGAAAGATTTGGTTATTGTTTTATGCTGGAAGCCCTTCCTGATGCAACCTGGACTCAAGCTCACAACGTCAGGATCATAAGGCTGCAGCTCTGACAGACCGAGCGACCACAGCCCCTATGGCATGACTATGCATAGAAGCTAAAATTCAAAAACTGGCTTATAACTAAAATGAGCAAATCTATAGCTAGACCAAATTAGAAAACTACTTAATGCCTTTGTATGTTAACTTGTAACCATAATATGTGAGGAAAAAGTGCACTTTCTGTTTGCCCTGTTCAGCATATCTCCCTAACTTTGGTCAAATTATTTTTTATAAAAATATTTACTCTGTGTAGCTGTAAAACAAATTCATGAAGTATCCAACAGGCTATTAGCTCAGACTGAACATTTTGTTTTGCTCATTGTGTTTTTAGTATCATTCTGTCACACATTTTATTCACATAACTATAAAATAGAACAGAAAACTGCCTAAATTAAAACACTAAATCCACATCTGAGATTATAACATGAATACGTTTTGATTAAGAAATTGAGATTATAGCCATGCTCAGATTCAGATATATACCTGTATTTAATTTTGGGTCAAAACTGGCATTCTCTTACGCCACTGGAAATACCTGCTTCGTGCTTTGTTTTCATCCCATACAGTGATCCGTATCATTTGCCAGTTATGTGGATGAGCAGATTTCTAACAGCGCTTCTTTGTTATTCCCTCCTTTGCTTACAGATCCGTGGAGGCACTTTTCTTGCGTTTTTGGCTTTGTACCCTTGAAGTCACAGCTTGAGCCCGCAGTAACGAAGCATATAAAGCGAGTCTCGTGATGACAAATCGCTCTCCTCGAACCCTGACAGCAGGGGTGAGAATGGGAGCAGCGCTGTGCTCTCCTCCTGACAGCAAACTGACACTATTCATCGCTGCGAGTCAAGATACGGAGCCCAGAACCAATCTGCTAATGCAGCTCGGAGGAATAATCGCAGCCAGTTGCAAAAGTTTGGGGTGGCCAGAGCCTC